CACAAAAGAGGACTCTGATAGCCGAACGCTCTAGCGCCCATTCTAGTTTTCAAGACTCTAGAAACTGCCAGTAACCCTTCATTCTGGGAGCGCAGTTCTCTGGTAGGGCAGTAAGGTACTAAAAGCTCTTTAAGATAAGATGGGGCCTGACCATGACCTGACCTTGTAGCAACGGTAAAATGGTTAAAGCACATCTATAGACTGTTGCATACTTATGGACATTTAAAAAGAAAATACAATCAAACATTCCTTTATTTGCTTCTCGTGCAGGTTACACTTTAGTTTAAATGTCATCATATTAATGGAGACATGCTCTCAGAGACAACCTTTGAAATGGGGACAAAATATCTCACAATTGAAACGGGGGGGAGAAATAAAAGGAAAAGCCTGAACACGTCTGCAAAACTCAGGCTTTGTACCTTGCATCTAAATCTTTTAAGCGTACAAGCGAATTCTGGATCATCGCTTGTAGTTAGAGTGGCTTAATAAATATGATTTTGTTTTGTTCTTCCCCTTGATCTCTACACACACACACACACACACACACACACACACACACGCGTGTGTGACTCAGGACTGGCTTGCCTCTGCTAGCTTCTTTTATTGTGTTCCTGGTCGATTAGCCTGGGGGCTGTCTTCGGGGCCTGGGGCCGGTGGGAGCAAACGGGGGGGGGGGGGGGGGGGGGGAAGGGGGGGGGGGGCGGGTGGCTGCATCTGCTAGGGGACCTCTGTGGGGTCCTTCAGGGGTCCCTCTGTGGCCCGGTTCAGTTTTTCATGTCTATCTTCAAAGGCTCAGCCCTGTGGAGAGAGAAAGAGAGTAGAGAGAGAGAAGAGAGAAGACGGTGCCCAGACAGTGGAGCTGCCATTGTTGTTTTTCCCATGTGCCCCCTCCGTCAGCCTACAGTAACCGGGGTGACGGAGCATGTCAACGCCGAACTGCCGGGCAACCTCTGTAGACAAAACTCACACGGAAACGCGAATACGGTTTTTTAAGCCCGGCATTTTTAACCTGACGGGGCCTAAAAGTTAAATTAAAGACATAATGTAAAATCTCAACCACAGGTTTTTTTAAACCTGATTTAAAATGGAGGACAGGTTACAGGGAGGGAGCGTTTCTGCCGGAGCTTTGTCGTAAAGCCTTAAAGGACAGGCCTCCAGAATCTAAAGGGATGAGACTTTGAATGGGAGGACGCGTGTGCAGGATTCCGCGGGCCGCCTTTGGCTCGTGGCCCTCTCTGTAGTCGGCCCTCTGGGCGCCTGCGCTGTCACAGGCCTTTAGTGTCAGGCTGAAGGGGGGGATGCACTCACCTTGATGTGATCAACTCGGAAATGAAAAGAACCCAATCCAAGCAGTCAGGGTAACAGACATGCCATCCACTGGAGATTCGGCTTCTATTTTTTTCTCGTCTTTTAACTCTCACTGTCATCTTTTTTTAATCCTTTTTCTTTGCATTCTGCTCCATCACTTCTCTCTGGATTCAGGTTTTTTCTACCTGTTGTGTGCCTTCCATCCCCCCCCTTCTTTTTTTCCTGTCTTTCCTCCGGCCTCATCCACACATTTTATTTAGCTTTCCACATTTCCAGTCGCCTTTTTTTGTGTTTTTTCCTTTTTGGCATTTACCTCCAGCTATACGATTATTCTCTTCTTCTATTCTCCACAATCCGCATCCCCTTCAAACATTGAATTTTCTCCCTTCTGCCCGTGTTGTTACATCGCATCCCCATCTTCTTGGAGAGGGTTATTATGTTCGGAAGTCTGTGCGGTGATCATATCTTCACATGCTCTGATCTGAGTTTGAGCCTAGCCCTGCACCTGACCAGCTAAGTGCTTTGTAGGAAGTTTTTTTTTTATATAAAAAAATCACGCCACAGTGAGTTATTTCTGGCTGGGTTAGTCTTATTTCTCTTGGCGCTTTGATAATGGAGAGCACTTGAATAATGAATGGGGTGTATAATACCGTTCCTCAGACCCGCTGAATGAATTAGGCAAGTGCACATAAGTCGGTTCTCTGAGAGTCCAATATCCACAGGCCCCTCCTTTTCTGCTTTCAATCGAAGATTCTTGGTTTGTGTTTTTGTCATTTGAGCACTGGACTAGCTGATGTAAAAATTAAATGAAAGACAGATGCCCATGCTCTGGTTCCTGTGGTTCAATGGTATTATTTTAATCCATTTTGAGATATAACATTAAATGTTAGTTACAGAAGGTTCATTGATTTATTTTTCCACAGCACACTTGAGAAATCATTGTTGAAATTGAGGTTGAATGTTTTACTTTCCATGGACAAGAAGAATGAGCTGATAACAAGTGTCCTGATTACTGCAAATAGAAGAGAAAATCAAGAAAATTAATCAAAAGAAAAGCGAAATAGCAGCTGCATTCTTATTTAAACAGTCCTCAAAGTTTCCAAAGCCATGAATCCTTCTGGTATGATAATATAAAAGAAAAGCAGGACAGCTTCATATTTGAGGAATTCCTAAAGCAATGATTTTTCTGTTTTGAACTTTTAGATCTTTTGGATGGAGAGAGGTTAGAGAGTGTCCACCCCAAAGACCAGTGAGTACTTTGGTGCATTTTGGGAACTCGTCCTGCCGGTCCGCCTGCCTGTCTGTGGCTGTTTCCCTCTCCTCTCCTGATCCCATGTTGTCTCCGTGGTGACAGGCTCAGTGTTCTGTGAAGGTCACTCCATCTGTGGCCAGACCTGGGCTTCGGTCTGCTCCAGAAACTTCTCAGGTTCATCCACAAGGCTGCCGGACGAGAATCTTTAGTGATCCCACGCTTAGTTTTGAAGTCTTAAACGGTAAAGTATAGCAATTCGAATTGTACATTTCTGTTCATTTTGTTTAGAGGAGTCTTGAAAAGTACAGTTGTGTGAGTTCACAGTCTGTGTGAGATCTGAATAGAAAGCCACTTATTTGTTGTGAATAGAGAAGGGAATAGGAGATGAACGGCACCCTCCTGCTATACCTTTAAAAGACACCCATCACCTTAGCCTCAAGTTTCTACAGAGTAACCCAATCTGTGAGTGTGTGTATGCATGTGTGTGTGTGTGTTTGAGTGTGTGTGTGTGTGTGTTTGTGTGTGTGTGTGTGTGTGTGTGTGTGTGGTCTCCAGCAGCCCAGGTTTGGCCCTGCTTCTGGTTTGCCTTCTGATGATAACTTAAGGTGACTAATAGAGAGGTTTTCTGGCTGTCTCCCCTCCGCTCTGGTCACATTCTCATTTGTTGCTCCTGGCATCTGATGAATTATTGAGTCCCGGGTGTCTTGGCTCCCACCCTTTCCCCTCGCATTCCCCCCTCGGCCCGCTCCCACGGATCACAGCCTCCCCGTGCGCGTGCGCGTTAAAGCGAAATGTGTGTTCTACACGGTGGGAGCGTCAGCAATTAAACACAGCCCCCATCCCCATTCTGTCAAAAATGCTCTTCCCTGCATGAAAACGCCCCAAGTACACACACACAATGCCTCTTCCTCTTATTTTTGTCTTATTTTTTTAACCTTTGGCTGCTCTAGGACTTTTTATTTTTGTTCGTCATCCATCCAGAATATTTTTAGTTTTGATTGCAAAGTGTTTATTTGTATTTTTACTAGACAGACTATACAGATAATGCCCCCCCACACACACACCTTACCACAACACACCTTGATATACCTTTCAGCTGCCGTGCTGAATAATTGAGGTGGCCTCAGTCTCCACATGGCGCTCACAGGCCTTCAGCTCGACTTACCACCTTACGCTATCAATACCGCTATTATGAGGATCAATTATTCACACCGAGCTTAACATTGCATTTACGCCATATAAAAAATAAATAGATGGATTTTGCTTTTTTGCTTTTAGCCATCCGAGTGTTTGCGCCAATCTGAAGAGCACACACACACACACACACACACACACAGACACACAGACGCATTGTTGGCAGCCAGTCACGTCTGGGAACGCAGCTCCCCCCCTCACAAAACCCCATTTTCGGCACCATATATCATGAATAAATGTTATCATCGATAAGATGATGCTCGAGACCGTGGGGCGGGGGCCGTGTGCGCGCGTTTTGGGCTCAGATTCCTGAACACTGCGCGTTTTACTGTTGGTTTAAGCCACCTGGCCGCGTGCGTCTTTATTTTTTTCCTGTCATTTTTAGTTGCCGGGGACAAAAAAGTGTTAGTTAAGACAAAAAACAAAGAAACAAACCAAAACATCGGCAGAGATGACGCAAAAATTGGGGATTCCGCAACGTGAGGGAAAATGGCTTTTTACAAAGTTTTATTTTCAGGTAAATATTTGGGTGATTTTTTTTTTTTTTTATGTTAAGGGGGAAAAAGGCCGAACAAGACTAATTTAAATGATATAAAAAAAGAAGGAGTCCTCTCTCAACCTGTGGTGGAGGCCGTCTCCCCGGAGTCTCCACAGTTCCCAGCTCCTCCGCATTAGTTCCCTGATATATAATTAATATGGCGTCGTCATTACTTAGTCATTTCAAAATCCCACGCACTACACGTCCCGGTAACACGGAGGCATCCATAATTGAATCTGCATTAATTACAGGGAAAGGAGCCATTTGCGGCGTGTTACTGGACACACTTTCGTCTCTCCACGGGTGTGAAAATCACAGCCAAAAAGACGGGCCTCCACCTTTTTCCCCCCCTGTTTGTATCATTATGAGGCCATGCATTATTAATTCCGGACGAGGTTAGGGGGAAATCTATGAATAAAACACTCCCGAAAACCACTTGTTTGTTTACACACAAGAAAATACGTCGATTTAAGATGCACTTATCATTGTCTTCTTTCTTTTTTAATGCCCTCTTTTTCTAGGCCTCGAGGAACAGAATCCAGATTAAAACAACAACACATGTAGACAAAAGCACCCAAAAAAAGAAAGGGAAAAAATTGAGGAGTTTTAGAAAATAACCAATAATTTATTCTGTTTCAATTTCACACATTTTTTTTTCTCAAGTGAAATCAAAAGTGAAGAAAAAATAAATAAAGACCTAGATTATGTGATAGGCATGTCTACTTTAGCTGTTTTATTTTAAATAATAAATCTTTACAGCTCACCTGCGACTCTCCAACATGTTTAACATCAAAATAGTCAAATATAGCAGCTGTCACACACGCGGATGTGCCCCATATACGATGGTTACATGTTTTAAGAAAAACAGACTCAGAGTGTCGTGCTCTGTGAGAGACTAAATGTAATAGTTCATGTTTGTTTTTGTGCGTAAAATCACGATTCAAAGAAGGAGCGGGACCCATTCGCCCCAAAAAATAGCGCTTTTTGCCCCTTTAACGTTTTAGTCCTTGAGCGCACATTTCTCAGAAGGCTCCACGTGAAGATAACAAAAAAAGTGGAAACACATTGCATGTCAGGGTAGTGTGTTTCTGCAGATATGTTGTGGATAACGGCTCTAATCTCAGCCAGTGTTACGGGAAGAAAATCTACCATCTCACACATATTTCCCTTCGCCTTTAGAAACTCTCTTTCCTCAGTCGTAGTCGTAAAGATAGTAGCCTATAACAGTCATTAAATGTGACATCTGAAAATCCTTTTTTTTTAAAAGCAAAAGACAAAAAAAAAGAAGTTCCCTGAATGTAACTGCCAGGGTGAATTCATTCTTAGTGTGCAACAAATATGATCAACAACATCAAACCCAGCCTCCTCACGCACATAGAACACATTTAGAGTCTCCACATTGACAACAAAATCGGGGGGAAAAAAGTGCAACGATGAAGATTTTGGGGTGTCAGGAAACGAGAAACTGAAGGAATTTCAGTAATTTCTTTTCTCTTTTTTTTTCTTCAAACGATCCACGTGAAACGTGAGCAGCTGTCCATATAGAATCCCTGTTAAGTTATACGATACCCGGGTTATTATTAATCTCTCGATCAAAAATGTATAGCAGGCTATTTTATTCATGATGTGTGGAAAAAAAAAAAAAACTCAGTGCCCCGCGGAGTATTTCATCCGTTTCTGTTTCTGCCGCTGGTTGCAAAACCACACGCGCACCACGTTCTTTTTCAGGTCCAGTTTCTCGGCGATGGCGGCGATTTTCTCCGAGGAGGGCCGCGGCTGGATGGCGAAGTAGGCCTCCAGGGAGCGCTTCTCCGGGGCGGCGATGGACGTGCGCTTCCTCTTCCTCTCGCTCCCGCTGAACGGGTCCGGCTTGGTGCTTTTCTCCCGGTGCGCGGCCTCGGCCTCCTCCAGCCAGGCCTGCAGCACGGGCTTGAGCGCGATCATGTTGTTGTGCGACAGCGTGAGGGACTCGAACCTGCAGATGGTGCTCTGGCTCAGCGAGCCCACGCCGGGGATCTTCAGGTTGGCCAGCGCTGACCCCACGTCCGCCTGGGTCACGCCGAGCTTGATCCTCCGCTGCTTGAAGCGCTCCGCGAAGGCTTCCAGCTCCCGGGGATCCGACTCCACGTCCGTGACGCACGCCATGCCCCCGTGCGCGGACAGGGAGTGGGGGTGGTGCGCCATGTTGGCCATCGCCTGGTGGAGCTGGCCCATGGTCTGGAGGTGGTGGTGGGGGTGCTGGTGCTGGTGGTGAGGGTGGGGGTGTCCCGGTGTGGTCATCCCCGGAGGTTCCGGCGCGCCCATCCCGGTCACCGCCAGGCTGCTGGACAGGTGGTCCAGCAGGTCTCCGGCCTCCAGGGTCTGGCCCAGGTGGTGGTGGTGGTGGTGGTGGTGAGGGTGGTGGTGGTGAGAGGCGATCGCGGACTGGACGTGGGAGGCGGGCACCGCGGCGGAAGACGAGGAGGCCGACGTGCAGGGCACACTGCTCATGGTATGGTAGGTCACGTCCGGTTTGAAGGGGTGACTCTTGCCGTGGGAGACGATGCTGTCGGCAGCCGCCAGAGCCTCCGCGCGCGCCAGCAGGCTCTCGTCGAAGCCCCCGAATATATTGCCCTGCAGCTGCAAGCGAGAGCGCGCATACATGGGAGTCAGTGGGGAATTGTGTCAGGCATAGCTCTCGTGGATCTAAAAAAAAAACACAACATTTTCCAAAGGCAAGGAGAGAGGAGAGAGGAGAGAGGAGAGGAAGCCCTCCTCAAAGCGCAGGTCATAAAAATTAATATGAAAGCATGGAGCATTGCTCGAAGAGACATATGGATGAGAAGGTGGGGGGAGGGGGGTAGAAAGAGCAGAGAGATAGCGGGTAAAACAAAGTCCTGTCAAATCAAATTTACAGTCATTTCCAGTGTGATACCCCCCCCCCCCCCATCCCACCCCCCCACCCCCTCCTCTTCCTCTCACCAGTGCACTCCATCCAGTCTCCTCGCGGCCTGAACGTACCTGCGCGGCGGGCAGGCAGACTCTGCGCATGCCCTCCGTGCCCGCGTGCAGGCCGGGGTACTTGGGCTCGTGCAGGGCCGGGTGCATGGAGAAGTGCTGTTTGCCGTTCATGGTCATCATCATCATCTCCTTCTTCCTCCTCCTCCGCGTGAGCACCTGGCCCCTGACATTGGAGAAAGAAAAAAAAAAGCCGGGGAGCGCGCGGGACAGTGGCCACCGGACAGCTCCTTCTTCAGCAGACTGAGCCTCCCGGCATCCCTCTGTCCCCCCCCCCCCCCTTCCCTCCACCAACCTCCTCATCCTCCTCCTCTTTCATCCTTTCCTCCTCCCCCCCTCCCACCTCCCTATGCTGATCAACTTTCAAGTTCCAAGTGTGAGGGCCCTGCGTGCGCCATGTCACCCAAAAATGACTGAGACGTTTGAGGGGGGAAAAAAAAGGGTGAAATATTTTCTCCATCGTTTATTGATTTGAACAAGAGCGTAACAGGCTGCCAGATCAAGTTTTTCTTTAGTTTCAAAGATCCAGAGGCCTAAAATGGCTCAAACCGATGAGAGTCGGTGTGCGTCAGGACCATGGACAGCGCACAGCTCAAAACGACAGTTTCCAGGTTTTATAAGAGAATGGATGGATGGATAGCGCATATGTAGTTTTTGCCCTAAAAAAAACTCTCATCTGGTTAAAAAAAAACCCGACCAAGCCCCCGCAGGCCGGGCCGAAAGAGGAGCCCCCTGGCCCCGGGCTGGGCTGATGACACGCCGGGTCCACCTGATCCCGCCGGCCGCCTCTCCGGTTCCCCCAGACCCTGAATTATTTAAGGGCGCGCGGTGGCAGGCATCCATTACCAACGACGGCGTGTTCTTCTTCATTACACAGATTAAAAGCAAGCGATGCCCCTTTTTTTTTTCTCACCAGCAAACCTGTTGCAGCCCAAAACCTCCGGACGTCTTTCGCTTGGATTTGCCAATCCGGTGCGCACATACAGCAACAGCACGTGCAGAAGGAATAGGCAAAGAAAAACTGTTGCTTTGTTTAATGATTTATGGCCCATTGGAAGTTTTTATCTTAAAAAAAGAGACAGTGAAATCAGCAGGTGAAAATGTTCAACCCTTCCCAAATTAGGACCATCCTATCTATCATAACTTCTGAGTATTTCTCAGCACAGACTTTTGTCACCATGACAGGCCTCACATTTCCAAATCACCAGATCAACTCAGATAAACTAAGATTGTATAGTCGACCAGTTCAGCTTTATTTTGAACAGAAAAATAATGGCTCTGATTGGTCCATTTCTGGGTTTGAATGCACTTTTACATGCACATGTTTCTCATTCATGTGATTCTGTTAATGAAATATCTTCTACATCACAACAGCAATGCATGTTTGGGAAACCGTCCTACCATTATTTCCTTTCTTTTCCTTTGGTTTATCCATCTTTTTATTGGGTCATTTTACTGTCATGTGAGAAAATAGATCCCTTTGTGTAAGAGCATCGAGAGAACCTTAAATCAAATAAAACTTTTTCAGTCGAACAGTTATCCAGTCCTTTAAATGGTTCTTATATGGCCACGGCCATCCAAAATGTACCTTTCTTTGTTTAGAACTCTGTCATATCTAAGCCTCTCCTATCCTGATGTGTCTGAACTGATGTGTGATGTGTGTTGGCATATTGGCTGTCAAAAATTAAACAAGCAGCTCAAATTAGATTAAACACTCAAAATGACTTACAGTTATTTAGATAGATATAAATGTAATCTCATCATCAAAAATGTAGAATTGTTAAATTGAAGTGCAGCTTCAAAAATGCAAAAAAGCACATGTGTATATATGTGTTTCTGCATACATCTACATTCACAGTGTAGGAACCATTCAGTCTGAAATGTCTGGACACTAAAAGTGTGGCAAAACTTTAATTTGTCATGTAATACTTTAAAATAATCCTATAATTAATCATACGTTTCACATTGATTGTGTTTTAAACCTCCATAGGTCTGTATGTATAATTTGAAATGATCTTTTCTGATCAAAGGGCTTCCAGAAGCCTTAAAATGATGTGGTTATAGTCCCATTATTCACATCTATTCCAGCCAATGTTTGATTAGACCTCTTAACACACACAGATCTCAGCTGTCCATCAGCTCCCTAAAAAGCAGGCGGCCATGTGTCGTGAGCTATTCTTCCAGCCTGATATTAAAATCTCTTCCCCTTAGGCAGGAGGCGGAACTTTAAGTTAAACAGTGTGAGTGTTTTCACTTGACTTCCTAAAGTAGAAAGAAAAAAAAACAAGTCTTTTCCATCAATATTTTACTGGAATGCATTCCTTGAATGGTGTAATTTCACTTAGCGGCATGTGTGTGTCCTCCGACTCTGCAGACTTCAGAAGTACACAGAAAGTTTCTGCCTGGTTTCCATTTGTCCACATCTCAAACCTTACATAGTTGGGGTACTTCTGACGTGTTTAAACCACTACAATGATTTCCCTGCTGATTTCCCCTCATCAACAGGGCCCTGATGATATTTTTGTCTGTGGTAATATTGCTGTCATAACTCCAGTGGTTGAAGTTAAGACTCGAGGTGATTAAAGGCTAAATTTAGATTTTCCTACCTTTTTGTTCTTGCAGCAAGCCAATCTTTAAAACCATCAAAAAACATCCATTGGACCCCAGATGTTTTTATCAGATCAGTCTCTCTCTCTTAATTCTCTGGCTGAGTACCAAAGGCCTTTAACATGGCTTTAAACCACTCCTTCAAAAAGCCCACTTTTGATCCACATGCGTTGTTAAAGTTATACGCACAATCCTCCTTTCATATATAAAATCTGTGAAGAGTATTCAAACATTTGCAGAGTACTGTGCCGTGTAAAAGCCTTATGTCTGTATATAGGGAACACTTTATCACTGAATCTGCATTAATTAAAGTAACAAAAGACCTCTGCAGCAGTCTTGTCTGGGCTGGTTCTGTCATACGTTCACTATCGCATTTTAAAACAATGATGATGACATTAAACTACACATGCAACCATATAAACTGTATCAGGGGAACTGCTTTGGACTGACTCCATTAATATTGAGGGATAAAACTCCACTTTACATGCACATACTGTATCCGCTTCACTTTCCACGCAGATAGGAGTTCAGCAGGGACGGGAGCTGGGGCCTGCTCGGCTTTGTCTTGCAGGGTTCCCTTAAGTCAATATTACACTGAAACGTGACAGGCGTTTTAGCAACTACTCCCTATGAAAGTTTGCTCAACTGATCTATGACAGCTGAGGAAAACACTTATGTTTAGGTCCCACATAAAAAATGCATTTCTACATAAAAAACCCAACTAAAAACAGCATGTAAGGTTAAATGTTCCAATGTTCCCCCTATATTTATATACATATGTGTATATAAATATGTACCATATAATCCAAGTACCTTAAGTCTTTTAAGTAACTATTCTTAAGTGTAAAGACTAAATAAGTGGTATTATGTATAAAAGGCCTGGTACCCATGAAATGACATGCAAAAAAAGGAGACCACACTTGATTTCAAAGTTAATATTTTCTGGAATGCTTTTGCTTTTTTTTCCTTCTTGCCAATGTTCTTATTTTAGTCAATTGATTTTTTGCCTCTTTTTCAGATATCAAATTAGAATTTTTCTCTTTTTCCTACTTTTTTTGTTTGTCTTTTTTACAAGCAGCCCATTCCTTTGTCTTTATTGGCAAAAGCAAACATGCCAGTAAATTAGAAATCCATTTTTACAAACAAAATACATGAAGAAAATACATCCACATCCTGCAAATATAAACAGTAACAAATCCAAAACTATTATCCAATAAACATTTTACATTTTTTTTTTTTTGTACATCGGTATTGTGATAGCATACAGAGGATAGTACAAAAGTAGAAGGGAGAAAGTCTGAGTCCTTTCCTACACAGGCAAAAAAAACACATGCCAGCAGGGGCTTGTCCCTTAAACCTGTGCATGATCTCATCTTCAATATAAGAGAAAAAATCAAAATAAAATAAAATAAAAAGTCGGAAGAGATAGCCTCCCATCACACACTTCATTTTGACCAACACAGTGATGAAAGGGACGAAAGACACAGTTCTGCAACTGTCTACATTTGGTGCCAGTGTGCGTTAGGGGAGCGAAGGAAGCCACTTAAATGACTGACTGCGTTCTCACACAGGCAGAAGTGTGCATGCAAACGTTCTGTCGGCTCACATCGCTCTAAGAGTGCGTGTGAGACGGCTACAGACCAACGCGTTAGTTTCTCCATCCTTTGTTTTGTTCAGACCTGAACAGATATGATCGGCTGTGATGAGTTCTGACAAGAGAAATGTAAACAATTATTTATTGAGCAGCAGCTACTGCGCACACGCAAAAAAAAAAAAAATCATTTGTCACAGAGAACATTTCCATGTTCGTCTTTATAGGCTTTAAGGGGCAACGCGCACGGCTGAAATTTAGTTTTTTTTCAATTGGTTGAGCGGGTCTGAAACACTGACGGTAGTCAGACTGAGGCAGAGCTGCACCAAAAGCAAAAATCAGAAACTCTCAGCGTCTTCAAATGAGCGCCTGTGTCACAATTCTGTGACAGCTCGCTGGTTGGATGAGAATTTGAGAGAAACAACGGGGCTCGAAAGAAAAGCTAAAGTCTTGCGAGCAAGCAAGCAAGCCGGGGCGCTCGTGCTTGACCTCTTCTACCTGATACAACCCTGGCCTTTCGTTTGAAATGACAGGAAAAAAGTAAAGAAAGAAAAAAAAAGCTAAACCCCTCATCCCCCAAAAAAGTATAACAGTAAATTCTCTTTAGAGCATTTACAAAATTTACAAAAAGTAAATCACAAATCCTGTAAAAACTCAGCAATCTGCTGACTGTGTAAGGCAAAGAATATATATATATATATATATAATTTTGAATATATATATATATTTTGAATGTGTGTTTCTATTAAAATCAACTGTTCAGTATTACATTCAAACACCCATCTATGGATATCACATTTCCTTGAAAAGGCGACCTGAGCTTCTGCCTCTCAGGCCCCCCTCTCATGACAATGTGACCGAATAGAATAAGTGGAAATGTTACACACTCTTCCGGGGAGCAGGACGCCTGCCTGGGTGTGTATTCACAAGAGTGGCACTGGACACTGAGGGAGCAACGCAAATTAGGAACGGGGAAAAAAATTCCAATACACGCCACAAGGCTGTATATGAGGGACACTGCCATTTTGTAAACAGCGGGCTGATCTATTGTGCCGGTACCGGGTATGACGTGGTTACGGTACAACGGCGGTTGGATTTTTTTATCTTTTTGTGCCGGGAGGGACAGGTGGCTTTGTTTCATTTGGGGACAAAAACCCGACATGCACAGATGAGCGTGTATCCAATGTCGGAACACGCGGCCACTGTAGAAAATATGTGGATTCTCTGACATTTTTTGGGCCTATTTATTAAAAATATAGAAAAAAAAGAAAAGGTGACTGAAGTGAAATAGAAAAACCATACCTTACTCTGCCAATAAAGATAGGGCACAGTTCAACGACGTAGTGGAAAAATAAATAAATCTCTCTGACGGCGACAGAGAACGTTGTACTGGTGATGGAATGGCTGTCCCTGAACCGAGGACGAGACGTTACAAAAACTGGTGAGAAAAAGAGCTTAAATACAGTATGTTTTAAAAATACCTATTCACAGTAGACACAAATGTTGTGCATTACTGATATTAATCATCTGGTAAGCACACTAAAACTTACATAGATTTTTTTTTTCTATCTATATGAACAACCTAGCATTTCCTTCTCAGCAAAAGTGAGATGTTTTAAACAATTGTTTAGTTGAGGGGTACAAAAAAACCACAAAAAAAAAACCCGCCCGACCCTCTAAATTGTTTTTTTTATGTATAATAAAGTAAAGACATTTTTCCTTTGATTGGAGTCTAAAAAACACAGTAAAGAAAAAATAACACACGCACAAAAAAACCCCAAACAGAGTTCCTTTCCATGTTGGGATAAAAAACCAAACAAAATAGGAAAAAAAAAAAATCAAGGGATGAGTCACAGCCTCTTCATCGCCTCCAAGACCGACTCTCGTACTCGTCGTCTTCATCGTCGTCCTCCTCCTCTTCCTCCTCTCCTCCCTCCTCCTCTCCTGGTAAATAAGAACTTGCTTCCTTCTGTTTAAAAAAGAAAAGAGACAATCTGTTTATTATTTCGCTAATCATTCCTGAAACCCTTAAACTGGTGACTGGCGGGGGCGGGGTTTTATGGAGGGTGTCCGGAAGACTCTGATTTTGTTCCATCACCACAGTGGAGCACATCAGTTGAGTCAAACTGATAAACATTTGCAACAAAGAAGACAACAGTGGTGTCAGAGGCTACTACTGATTCAGTGATGCTCCACAGGGGAGGCTGTTTAACCCTGTCATGCACACATATGCTGTCCACTCGAGTGGACATCTGGAAAATCACACATTTTGGATAAGAAAATAAAAAAAAAAATATTTTTTTTACCCTTTAAGACAAAAATCCTGACTTAGATGATCATAATCGATGTATGAAAGGGTTAGTAAAAATGTTATGAGAATCATAAGAGTCAGAATTCTATTTTAAAATGGAGCAAACTGATGAGACTTGTTTCAGCTTTCTTTTAGACACTCCAGCATATAACAAAAAAAAGAAAAAGGGGATTTCACCTGACTGTAATGCTGGGTTACTCAAGAGATTTTGATGCTCTTAGTACTGAGAATCTCACCCTGGGAGCTGAAGTGGATATTCTAAAAGCCCTGGAAGTAAATCTGTGAACGTGTAATACCGGCAAAAGAAAAAGGAAACACACTGCACCGACTTTCTAACCTCAGTGCTCCTCAACGCTGACTCAAAGTCTTCTCCTCCAAACATTTGCATATGCATGCGTGTGTGTGTGTGTGTGTGTGTGTGTGTGAGCTGCATCATACCCTATTGTCTTCTTCTTTGGCCTCTTCCTCCTCTGGTTCTGTGGCAACAGAGGGCGTCTTGGGTTTGTACCAGGAAATTTGCAGAACACGACCTTTGAATTTAGCTCCCTGATTGGCTGCCTGCACAGTGAAAAACATAAGAAACGGTTAGAAAAGCCGCAGTTTTCAGATTAAATCTGATGCGAAGGGAGACGGCCACAAAGACGAATAATAGATAAAAAAAAACTTACATTCTCTGCTTCACTTCGTGTCTTAAAAGTCATAATGACACTGTTGGCGTCTTGGTCACGGAGGTCTTCTATCTCACCGAATTTCTACAAGAGAAGAAGACAGATCAATACCAAAAAAACAAACAAAAAAATCACCTTTGCCAGGAACCCCTGTTCTGTGTTAATAGTCTAAGCCCGATGTCGTGTCCTCACCACAAAGTGGGGCATTAGCTCTTCCTTCTCCTCCTGCGTGACTCCCAAAATGGCGAGGGCTCTGGGCCTGTGGTCCACCACCATGCGGTTGACCACTCCGCCGCGGGGGGCGCCGTCCCGGCTCCGGCTCCTGCCGCGCCCCATGTGCATGGCGCCGGGGTCCTGGGCCAGTTTCCCCCGGCCCCGGCCCCGACCCGCAGGGGGCCGGATCAGACCCAGACGGGTGGCCTAAAGCGGGAGACACGGCGGGCGGGGGTTAGTCCGATGGAGGGCGCCTTTCATCATTTCCTTTTAATATTATGATCATTAAACAAGTCAGGCAAGCACAAAAAAAGAAGAAGAAGAAGCCGCACAACCTTGTATATATGGAATATTAAAAAAAAACAGGGTTGAAACAGTCGGGACGTGTTGGACTTTGCGCTCTGTCACTCTTCGTTCTTTACCATTAGGCGTCACTCCTCCATTTTTAAAGCCACATCTCAATTTTAGACGCTCCGCAGCCCTCACAGCCACTCTCGCCTCCATTTGTCCCTCCCCAGCCCCCTGCTCTTAATTGTCCTTGTGCGACTGTTCCTGCGCCGACCGGCAGCTCAAACTTTAATGAGGCGGCGCCCCGTCGGCGTGAGGACTCGTGTCTGATTGGGCTTCGTTAGCGGCTGCTCCTCTGGGCTTGCTTAAGTGTCTCCAGTTTAATGTGCAGAAGGAGGGCTGGGTTTGGATGGATGGATGGAGAGGGAGGGGGGGGGGGGGGGGTTACATTTAAAAAAAAAAAAAAATAAGGGATTCAGGGGAAAAAAAAAAAAAAAAAACAGCCCAAAAACCAATCAGATAGGATGCTGCTAACCAGGGTCGTGTCATTTTTTAAAATCCAGATTTTGGCCCAACAAATCAGGATAATACACGAGTTGTTTCATTTGAGATTTTTGATGTCCTCTTGTTGGAGGACATCTGGCCACTAAGCCCCATCACTGCTTTGTAGTACCTCTGGACATATCGTCTTTGACCTTTCGAGGGATTATCTGATGGGCGAGCGAGGGAGAACAGGGAGAACGGAGGAGGAAATTTGAACTAGTCTCCTTCCCTTGAATTGTCATTGATATTTGAAGATTACTCGCATTAAAAATGAAGGAGGGAGGTCAGCGGAAATACAGTAACAACAAATCTGTTTGACTGAGACACAGATTCAGGAACGACAACACCTCTCTTAAGATTATCATAACTACGAGTCATTCCGAGGACAGACAGAGACTTTCACATGCTGCATGCCCATCGGTGCATTTGCCCCTCAGAAATGATGGCTAATTTCCAATTTATACATGTCACGACAAAGGAAGTGTTCCCCACTAGTGATCTATCCAGAACAGAACAGACAATAAATGCTGTTAATTGTCCAGAGATTGCAAAATGCTAATCAGTGACTAAAATCTAAAGTTGCAATGTAGGAAAACATAATCAAAAGTGAGTCATTCCATGAATGAATAGGCAAATGTGTTACTCGTAGGCCACGTTTATGTAGATTTTACACATCTATTGCTTAATATTGAACAAAGATAAAAAACAAAACAAAAAAAACACATCCATCCGACCATCTTTGCCGGACATGCTGAGTCATCGTTGTGACTGAGCTATTAAAAACAAAAAAACTAACAAAAAAACTAAACTCGATTATTGACCCTCTGGAATTGAATGCATTTCACTGGTGTTCATGTGTGCAGAAACCTTTTCTTTTCTCATTTAACAGAGCAGGCAGTGATGACAATCTTATCTTCTAACTTCCTCTCAGGCGTTTCTTGGTATCACATCCTCAAATTTGACGCGGAAAAAAAATTGCTGAAGATGCGAGATGCTGTCAATTGTGCGTCGATGACTGTTAATGTATGCGAGTTACAAGGCATGGCAGCGCGGGCTATCTTTTCAGATTGCTAATCATGGTTGAGAATTCTGTGTGCGCGCCGAGGTTTCTCTACCTCTATGGGGACACGTCCGGGTTCAAAACCATTAATGTGGGTGCAATTTATCAGATCAAATTGACGGAAAAAAGCTTTTGTTTGAGTTATTGTTCCTGTTCAGTCTGGATGTCTGTGAGAGTGTTTGTTTTACCTCAACTTGCAGCTGCCCCAGTTTTCGCTTGAGGTCTGTAGTGTCCTCTCCTGAACTCATCTTTTTGTGAAAGTCCAACTCAGCATCCAGCAATTCTTTCTGGGCCTGACATGATACATATGAAATTTTTGTTTGTTTTCCTTATGGCTCCAAAAAGTTCAAATGTATGTATGTAAAATTAATCTTTTCAGAGAAAACGTGCACGGTAATGGTGCAAATTTGAAGAGCAAAACAGACATCCAGCCCAAAATTCATGCCCCACCCCTTTCCACCACCAGTCAAATACTAAAATGGGATTTACTAAAATCTATCAGGCAGATGTATAGTTTAAGGCTGTAAAATGAACATTTTTCCACATTTTTCCCCCCCTGCTTACATCAGTCTTTGTCTTGGCCTGGTTGTTGTTGTTTTTTCCGCCCGTGACCTGAGAGGCGGGGTTCATTTCGTTCTGGAGCTGGGTAATCTTCTCTGTTAGCTCCTTTAAGGTTTTCATGATGTTGTCCCTCTCATCGCGCTTCATACCCCGGTTCTTCTCCAGACGGTTTATCAGAACCTGGAGGACACGCACAGACAAAAAGAGCACATAAAGCCTTGAGATGAGACAAAAACTGGAAGGCAAACACAACGAGCAGAGAAAAAGGAAGAAGAACTCAGGGATGAGAGTCTTACTTTCTGACACTCAATCTGCGCCTTTAACATCTCTTGCTTCTTCTTCGTCATGTCTTGTTGGAGTTTTAATGCCTCCTAGAAAAATAAATAAACACATTCTATAAAACACACACTGAACATGTTTCTGGCACAATAAATCATAAAAAAAGCTATGACAGATTCAAATGACTTCAAAGCAGATAAAACAAACTAATGGAAAGACGTGCCTGCTTTTTCTTGAGAGCTTCCTGTGCCTCCAGTGCTTTTCCTGTTTTCCCAAGGCTCTTTGAGGCTGATTTGTGAGGTGTGGAAGTGTAGGGGTTCTTCTGGGTGTTTGGCAGGGCTGGCGTCGCCTAAGAATCGCAAAGTGCAATAAAAAAAAAAGAAAAGAAAGAAAAGCAACATGAAGACTATGAGAGTGAGACTGCACACAGAAATAATGAGTGACATGAGCTTTGGTAAAGTGATGGTGTTTCTTTAACACATAAAAGATTTTCTTCATTCTAATGAGAAACGAGTGCTCAAACGTACAGGCACAGACTCAGAGTTTGGGTTCAGGCCCTCTGTCTTTGTTGTGTTGGTGGTCCCGGCTGCTGCGTTCAGGTGATGCTTGGGTAGAGTGTTGTTCAACACGTAGGCAGCCGGATTGTGCTGCTTTATCCCCTAAAGATACATAAGAACACGGTAAAAAGAAAAAAAAAGTTTAAACATATGATAGAATTCATGTAATTTTACTCAGACACTGAAGTCATGATATTAGTTGTACTTCCAAATTTGTCTTTTTCTTCTGAGACATCAGATACACTTATTCTAAGACAACAATAAAAAAAACACAGTGCATGGATTGGCAGCTGGAAGCTGGCCTGATCATGTCGGATGGCACTGGCCAATAAGATTCGGATGTCCAGCCTACCAATCGTACGGGGCAGGCCCAGCCCGAGAGCATACAAGTCTATTACACCAAGAGCTCTGGGCTCTTTTCTGATAGAGATCCTCATCGAGCTTTGTCAGTTAAGACCCTTGCGTGCTGATAAACTTAACATGTGCCATAGATAAATTACACATTAGTACTCTGATCCTTTCTCTGGTTTATTCTCAGGCTTCCATAAAAGAATCTGGCTGACAACAGCAACAAAAAGTTGTCAATGGAAAGCGATTACAGGACAGCTCTGTGTCCCGGCCGGTCCCTCCCACCTTATGCATGTTGCTGTGATGCGGGCCCTGGCTGGGTGCCGACACCCCCCCCTGGCTCCCTGAGCTCTGCTCCTGAGGGCCGGCGGAGTTGGCGCCGGTCTCGCGGTGCCAGTAGACGCGGATGAAGCGGTTGTTGAGGACGGCCTCTGTGCTGGATATGGCCCGCCGGGCCTCTTCGTTCTTTGTGTACTGGATCAAAGCCGCCTCCGGGTCCCCGCCAAACACGACCTGGAATGAAAGCGGCGCGTGTGCGGGTCAGCTGCCTGCGTGTGGGGGTCAGCTGACTGTGTGGGGGTCAGCGCTGAGCTTCAGTGTGATGCTGTGGCGGCGGGTCACCTGTATGTTGACGATGGTGCCGAACTTGCTGAAGTGCTCGTTGAGCTTGGTGATGTTGTTGAGGTCGCGCGGGATCTTGCGCACCTCCAGCTTCGTGTTCACGTAGTGATTCCTCTTGGGAAACATGCTCTTATGTTGGTTGTTGAAACCTGGCCTGAAAAGGCGGGAAAAACAGTTGTGTTGACGCCTTCATTTTGACAGTGGGAGCAGAAGAAGACGACTGACATAGTGAACCAAAAACAACCGAGACAGCTGTCATTTAAAAAGTCGGTATTCAAATCTGTGTCAAGCATGAGGATCAAGTTTAATATTAACCTGAAGGCATTTAGGAAGGATTAGAAATCGAGGATTTGCGGTGGAGAGCTATCTCAGTCATGTGGATGCTTGTGTGCAGCTGGGACAACAGATAAACTGCTAAGCTGAGTCACTCTGGCTTAGAACAAGGCTCTGTGAGCAGCACTAGTACCAGGAAATGGGGCCAGGCAAGAACTCTATCAAATTTCAGCCGGCTGGTTAGTGTATTCGGTGTCAGCACAAAAGAGGAGCTGCTGCTCTGAATGCAGTCAAACTTCAAGGAATTTCTGAATCTTCAAGGATCCTTTTTCCATTTCCTATGTGTGTGTGTCTGTGTGAGCCCTTACTTCTCCATCCAGGGCTTTTTGGCCCCAGGTCCATCGGCCGGACTGGGCCCCATGGCTCTCTTCCTGCTGTCGTGCTCCGTGTTGAAACGGGAGACGTTGCTTCCTGGAGCGCTGCTTGCAGAGGCGGGCTCCGTCTGGATCACGATGTTGGCCGCTGACAAATACAAGACACAAATCCAGATCAGGGTGGTTGGGAGAGTTACAATCAGGGGGATCTCTCTCTCGTGATCAAGATTGGTTGACATTTTGAATGGACCTCACCTCTGGAGCCTTGTCCTTCGCTGGATGTGAGGCCGATGAGGTTGGAGCGTTGGCTCTGAACCCGGGGGATGAACTGACGATATGGATTATGACCTGCAGTCGTCAGGCCAGGAGATTCTGGGTTGTAGCCTTCTGGGTCATAGTTGTCTAATATTGATAAGGAATTAAAAAAAGAAGAAAAAAAAACACATATAGCTGTTAGAAGAAAATAATTTACATAAAAAAGACAACACAGAACTGTAACTAATAGAGCTTAAAACATGTCTGTCAGAGTAAACATAACAAGCCATATACAAATATACCCCAAATCTGTGCCTGATAAATGCAAAGATACAGCATTTTATAAAACGACATACTGAAATAACACAAAAGAAAAGTGACTAAACTTGATTAAAAAGTCATGAAAGCTAAGCTGCGGCTTTCTGTAACACAAACACACAACAGAAAAAGCCTGAAGTTAAATTAGGAAAAAAAAATAAAAAAAAGGACCGAAGGAAACACTTTTCTTTAGGTTAATTAACAGCGCCACCCCGTGGCCCACAATGGCTACTGCACCCTGAAGAAACAGCCCCCACACAAAGCACACAAGACACAGAGCAAACTTAAGCTGACGAACCGACGCACGGCTGAGGCTGAAAACAGCCGCCACCACCAAAGTCACAAAAACGCCCCCCAAAAAAAAAATGAAAAGAAAGAAAACCTCAACATATGGGAAAAAAAACAAAAAAAAACAGGCTTTTGTCTAATCCAAACACACAGCCTCGATGTGAATAGCAAAATGCCCCCTGCTTACATTCAGGCTGGGCATATTGGGGGCGAAGAGACACAGATGAGCATGAGGGAGGAGGCTGAGGAGGAGGAGGAAGAGTGGGCGGCATCCCAACGCCGGCCGGTCCCACAGAAGGAGCAGAAGTGATTGGAGGCTGGTGGTTGGGGGGATCGATCCCACTGGTTGCTATTAGTGGGGGTCCTGAAGGAGACAAAAGCCCAAGCTAATGTCTCAGGTACATCACACGTATGACAGTGAGAGAGAAGGTTTGGACTAAACTGGACAAGATTGCCATTCAACACAGGCGGCTTCAATGTGAGGGGAGTGAGGGACAGAGTCGGAAAAAACAGGTACTAAACACGAATGAAGGGATTGGGTCTGATTACAGCAGGTGTTATGTGATCCTTAAGCAGTAAACCCAAAGAAGAAACTTTCTTGATGATGACTTCTTGGATATAGTAAGGATTTTTCAACTTTTTTTTGCATTTTTCAAAGAAGTGGGATGGAGAATGTTCACCAGCCAGGCGAACAGGCCTGCCAGCTGGCCGACAAGAAGTGATACAAGGAAGATCTGAGCACGTGTAGTGAAACTTTAGGGCAAAAGGTTTCTACCGATTGGGATGTCTGGGAACATCTTAAGAGAAAATGTTACAATGAGAGCAGAACAGTGTTTCTCAACAACCCGTATGTGCTGAGCAAACAGAAATCCCAGGATCAAAGAGGAAAGTTGCTTTCTTCCAGCAAGGGAAAAAAAAAAAAAAAGGCACTTATGAGTGGTCAGTGACCCGATTTCCTCAAGTTTGGGTGATTGGCCGATATTTTCATGTGCAACCCATTTTATTCCCAGTCACCTTAACCAAAGTCGGCTCACATGTGGTCTTTTTGGCAGCATTATGCAGTCAACCTCAAACTTTGCAATATTGTAAATGCAAAAATACTGCTGTGAACTTTATTTTTGGTAAAGGGCTCTAAATGGGTCTTTAATCTCACCCGATGGGCAAGTTTAGTTTCTTTTTAAAATGTGAAAATTTAGGACTAAAGAACTTGATTTTCCCCGGGTTGGAGCACCATCTGCTTGAATAATCAGGCGTGAATTCTAACTGGAGAGCTAACCTGTCAACTAACAGGGGGAGGTGCAATTCTACATTTAGCAGTTTTGATCATTTTATTTAAAAATATTGTCACAAACCAAGGAAAATTCCTCCCTGCTTCGAAGATCAACAAAAGTAAAGAAAGACATCCACTATGTCTCAGAGTAGACAGCCTCACTTAAAAAAAAACAAAAAACCGGAACGTGCCACAAGGCGACCGTGCCTCAAATAAATACCATAAGAAAAAAAGTGTGCAGATTGTGAAGGGGACAAATGTGTAGATGGTTTGTTTTGTAGCTGCCGTGTCCTGCAGAAATCCCAAAACACCGGCTGCTTACGCTGCTGCACACGCTCTAAAAGCGGGCGTTAGGGCATGACACGCAGAGGCCTCATACTCACTAGTCATGGGGAACACGCCTGGGGGCGGCGGCTGGCCATAAGGGGGCATGGATGGCATCCTGAGGGGAGGAGGTGGCTCGGTGATGGGAGGCATCGGCAGACCAGCGGGAGGCATGACCGGTGGAGGTGGGAAGGGAATCATGTTGGGTAGACTGACATCATCAACGATGAGCGGGTCACTCCCGTGGTCAAACGGACAGAGGTCCCCGCGGACGCAAAATCCTTTTTCTGTTTGAGGGTAACAAACACAATATAGATGTCATTACAGACCAACAAATCTACAAATAAAATTTTCTTAGAATCTACAGTAATAGGTGAATAAAAAAATGCTTTAAGCTATTAAAACAAACAAAGAGGAAAACCAGATGAGTCCAAATAAAACAAAAGGAACAAACGTCCATGTTTAAAGCATCTAAGCTCCCGTATTTACCCGGCCGTCTCATTAAGGCACCGTGTCCCCCGTGACGGGGTTTGAGTGCTGCGACAGCAGTGCCCCTAGGGGACGGTGGGATAGGTCTAAAGTCTCCCGTGTCTCTGTGTACAGGAGGCCTACTTACTTTACTGCTCGTCGCTGGAGACGTGGGACTTAGTGCTAAACAGTGGTCATTAGTGAAGAGACTCATCGGAGCACTGAGCTCTCGAGGGAAGGAGGCAGGCTAGCCAGAGCGAACACTACCCTGACCATGTTGTATATTACCAAACCCCAGTTACTAAGCCTTGTTTTTCATTAGAAAATAGGACATTTTTGCTAGAGTAAGACCGGCGTGGAGTGGTAAGAATGCGAGAGCTGCTGCTTACCGTCGTAGTCTCTGCATCGCTGTTTGAGGGACGCGCTCTTGCTGCCGAACGGCTTGCTGGCGCCCTCTTGCCTCTGGGCGCTGTAGTAGCCGGACCAGCTGTCTGTGGTGCTGTCGGGCAGGTGGGCCGGCGTGGCGGTGGGGGCGGCTCCGCTTCCCGGGACTCCTGCCGAGGACGAGGGGGGAAAGGGATGCGGCTGCGTGGGGAGGGACAGGAGGGGTGGCGGGTGCTGCTGCTGTGGGTGTTGTTGGTGTGGGTGGTGTTGCTGCTGCTGCTGCTGTTGGTGGTGCTGTTGTTGCTGTTGTTGTTGGTGTTGTTGTTGTTGTTGTTGGTGTTGTTGGTGCTGTTGGTGTTGATGGTGCTGCTGTTGCTGCTGGGCGCCAGACGGGACAGAGGAGCTGTAGCTGTCGGTATCCTTTCGCTCCGCTTCGAACTTAGACTTGAACTCTGTTCGAAAACAAACGTGGAAAAGAAGAAGAAATCGTTAAAATAGCATTACAGAAGCTATGCGTGCCGAACAGAAGGGTTTTTAAATTCAGCTTTTTGATAAGCAGCGACATTTCTCGCTGTCTTAGACAAAGAGGCTCGGAGTAACCTTGTGGGTAATATGGCCAACTCCAGCCCATGTTGTTGAATCTCCAATGATGAGACTGCAAAGCCGTCCACATTATTCTATCCTAAAGCTCAATCCAACCAAAGAAGGAAAAAATAAATAAAAAAATAAACACATTCGAAGCACTCTTGAATAAGTCCAGCGCGGCCCACATCCAGCCCGTCTGTGGCAGCCCTCCCGCCCAACCAGCTCCGACACACCTGGCTCCGCTCCCCTGTGCAGTTCCTATTGGCTGAAGGGGTGGGAGGGGGGGACTTTCTCACCTCTGCCTCCTCTGTGCTCCCTGTCCCTGCTCTTTCCCGGGCTGCCGCTCCGGCTCCGGCTCCGGCTGTGGCTCCGCCCCCGCCGGCGCTCGTGGCGCTCCCGCTCGCGGTGGGAGTCGCTGGCGCTTTTCCCGTGCCGCTCGAACTCCCGGCGCTTGCGCTCCTCGCGCCTCCGGTCGTCGCGGCTCCTGTGAGGGAGACGCGTGAGAGGGAGGGCACCGGAATTGCCGTCACCCTGAACAGGTTTGGAGCAGGACAGCAGCCGACGCATCTCTGTGTTGATATTCTTCAACGATCTTACTGGACTAGAATTTAAGGCAGAAATGCACTCTCTCAGAAAATAGCACACGGTAACACGGTATTTCTCATTGTTTTCTATTTTCCCTTTGACTAAAAAAATCTAAAACTATAAAAAGGATAATGCGGAAAATATCAAAGACAATAAGAAATAATTTCAATGACAAATCAGTAGCAAATAATAGGGTTTTTATTTAAAAAAAGAGTTGAGTTCTGCTTGTTTCTGTCATCTAATGATGCAATTGTCAGAAAAACAATCTAGTCTTGACACAATGTTTTCAGTCTTTGTAAAGCAGTTAAATTGTCCTATGTTCTGTGGCTTGATGCACCACAGCAAAGGGAGCGGTTCAGGTTCATCAAGCTAAAAGAAAACAGGACTCCAGAGCTTATAAAGTAAAAGCTTAATAAAATTTTTCTTCTTTCTGTACCCGTCCTCTTTTTAAAAGCTCATCTGAATTTCAGTGACTTCATTTGCCTCAGTCATTAAGGTAAAGTTACACAAGTCCTTGAAGCCACGGCCGTACCTGGATTCGTTGAATTCAGAGCGACTTCTCAGGGGACTTCTCCTGCGTCTGTTTTCTCTCTCCTCCTCTGGTGTTTCAGCCTTTAGGGAAACAACAGTTGCTTACATAAAAATAGACGAAAGGATAATCGAATGCTTTATGCGCTCTCCACAGAATCCCTTTTTTGGAGGAGCCAGGAGGTTTCTCACCTCAACAACATCAGCTTTGACTGCGGGCGGTTTAACCTCCTCCTTTGGAGCCTCTTTGGCTGCTGGATTTCCCAGGTAGTTCTTGGTCGTCAGACATTCAAAGAGTTTATCGACAAATCCTACCGTCTCTGCAAAGGCAAATTCAGGCATGTACATTTAATTTTCATACTGTTTCAAAAATCATCTGCTTCAGAGACTAAACAAATTCTCACATTGACTTTATAAAAAGGTCACAGAAACTTGTATTTATCTCCAGCTCAATAAAACCTCTGCATTACTGTCCTCTTAAGCTCAATACGTTGATTCTGACAGACATAATAAATTGACCACTTCAAAATTATCTAGGGCTCCCCCTGCTGGTCAAATTGAGGATTCACGTGTGCCAACTGGTGAGAAGATAATGCTGAGGATATTTGTGACGCTTGAGCTTCTTAAAAGAGTCTCGCCGCTTGGAGGCTGATGCAGAATGTAAATGCCACACTGGTTGAGTATGGCTACCACCTGAAAACTTACCTTACCTCTGAGGGTGCGCTGGCCATTCGTGAGAAGAATTTAAAATACCCTGTTTGGGGTAAAAGTGATCTTTTGAACTCTTACAGATCAGCTAAGCTTTGCTACATCTTCTAAAGTTTTAAGTTCTTAAGTTAAAAAGTTCAGTTTTCAAATCATGAAAAAAAAAAAAAAGCCTGTTCTGGAAAATTATCTATAGATGTATACGTTTAATGTAGTTAAATTCTTCTCTATGCTAATTGTTAGTCTTAGTTCTGTGAATTTCTTACCCTTTTGCAGGAAGACATCAAGCTGGTCAGCACACAGTGCTCTCAGCTCCTTCTCTGGTTTGTCCTTTTTGACGAGAGCCACAACATAATTGGCCAGTGCAGAGGGGTCGGCATCACATCTGCAAGTCGAAAGATATACATCCTCAGCTTTACCCAAGTAAATCGCGTTCAATTAATAAAAGAGGTAAAGAAGAGCTTGCTGAGCGTTTGTATCCATGAATGTGCACGACTTTCCCCAAGTGAAGAAGAGCATTTTACAGCAGTTTAAACAAACAGATTGACAACTACTGGCACATCAGAAAAATCATTACTGGCGCTCATGCTGAACAAAAAACAAACTTTAAACACTTATGGATTTGCTGGAGAGACTCAAACTGCCTTTAATATTTGAGGCGATACAAAAGAGGATAAATAAATAGCACACACAGCCACCTGCTGGGTGGCGTACATCCTGAAATGCACTGATTAAAGTGTTAAGAGAAGAATGTATACGCCATAATCAGTAAGGATGCACTCCTGACCACTATATGTTACCTCTACAGGTGATTTATAACTACGATGATAATCAAAAACATTGTCCTCTTAACAAGCAAGTCGAGATGATATAACAGTGCAAAACACACAATCGCACACAGCCAAAACAAGCTCAAAGCTCAGAATTCACAAGTAAATAAATAACCATTATCTTTCCTCCACAGCCACGTCCTGTTAAGGGGCAGCAGGCGAGGAGGGCTTTGCATCTGCCATGGCAATTGATATGACTCACCGTGGACAGGTCAACAACAGTCCATCACAACACCAAGAGGCAAAATAATTCACAAAAGTGAGACTGAGATTCAAACCAGGATTCTTCCTGCTGTGTGAAGAGACAAAGCTCACTACACCTCCATACAACCCATAAGAGATAACGTTTCTAAATTTCAAACAGATTTAGATAATAAATACATAAAACTGAAAATATATTTCAGCTTAAATTTGTTTTATAAGCAACCAGCAGTGTGAAACAGTTAAGATTGTTAGTGGTTCAAACATCTATTGCTGGCCACTATCAACATATGCAAACCATTGTGTGGGTAAATAAACTAGGCAAAATGACCTATAAAGGATTTAGAAATTATTTTTTTAAAAGGTCTTGAAACTGGGCTTTTTAACGTCTTGGAGCTGTGCTTTCAAATAAGCCAGCAACAATTTGAAGTAAGCTAGAGTTTTGTTTGTTTGTTGGGTTTACACCCATTCTTAATTCTCAGCAAAACACCATTAAACCATATAGAAAAGATGAATGAACGTCCCTACCTCATTCATTAATCAGGTATGTAATCTATTCCCCATACACTAATCCACATATCAACTTATCTTCAATAACGGTCCAATGTTTAGCTGCACGAATACAGTAAACCATGTGCAATCCTCTGCCCACAGGCACATACTAATATCACTATTAACAGAATGTGTAACTATGGTAACTCGAAAACCAAACTGTAATATTGTGCTTGATGCAGTCCATGCATTCTAGTGTCCATTTTACCCGCTAACAGAAAGAACAAGTTAGGCTATGTGTTGAAGCTTAATGATTTACTGCAGAGCTGTGATAAAGTTGCACTACCGTGCGCCAACTGCGTGTCTATCTGCCCGAAAACACCAGATAAACAAACGTAGACAGTCAGTCCATAAAGCGCACGCTATCAATTTAATTGTTTTAGCCTTTAACAAAGTACTACAGACTCTTGAGCGAAAGGCCGGTTAGCGGCAAAGGTGGGCTGCTAACTCGTGCAGGAATCTGCCTGATTCTGGCACGTCCCCATTGATGCCAAGCTAACTCACGGCTTGCTAGCTAACCTAGCATGCAAGCTAAATGTCATTTCAATTCAACACTCACATCGGCTCCAGGAGTTTTGCCAGCCATGACTTCAAAGCTTCCACATTTTCTATAATCATCGTGGGAAAGACTACAACACTGTCTATAAAAAGAAAGTCCGTTTTGACGACTCTACTTTCATCGTCTATTTATTTATAAGCTTTAAGGCCTTCTGTCTCTCTTCTCTGGCAGGTCGGACAAAATACTTTACGGCATGGCAACACAAACGGAGATGTCGCAACTCGGGTCTGATGACAGATGTTGGAGTGCAATGGCTCTATTTTTAGATTTAAGACTAATTAATTTGCACCGTCGGATATACAAATGCATATAAAGTTTCTGAAACTGATCAAATATGTCTGTCCCTTGACTGGGATCGTAGCTATCAACATATGTTGAGATCTGAAGTAGAAAAGATCCCGACAAACATCATTTCCCATGAAGCCCCGCGAATAGCTTCTGGAGGGTGTCATCATCTAGACACCGGTGGCGTGGGTCTCTTGTCAAACTGGGGATTGTCTCTGTCCTCTTCTCACTTTAACCGACGGAAAAGCAAATAGCTGGGTATTTTAGACATAATGACGGTAGGTAAAAAGTTATAATCAACAACCTATAAAAGAGATGTTTAATTTAACAGTTACACGCTCCCTCTTTCATTCACTTATTGTAGCTGTTAGCCAAGTTAGCTAACACGAGCAGTGAAACAAGCTGTTAACAAAATCTTACCGTTACCGGAGGAATTACAGCTGTTCTTCTCTGTGTTAAACAATGACTTAAATCCAATTCAGATGCTTTTTTCAGTTGACATTATTTTCGATTGAAAACATCTTGTTTGATGTTGCATTCAAGGAACGGAAAGGAACGGCGAAGTTGGACTACTTGAGAAAGATTGAATTAGAAATCCAGGAGAAATGGGAGAAAGAGAGAGCCTTTGAGATTGACGCTCCGACAACAGTAGGAGAAAGCACAAAGTGGGTATCTGTCATGTTATACTTAACCTCACCATCTGCGATTAAATGCATTCCCACAGATGTATGCACTTTCTAATAAATGTCAGAACATATTTTCTTCCTGCTGTAATACATGTGTAGTGACTTTCTTCTTAGTGAGTTGGATGACCCTTTTAAACTAACTTTAAACCGCTATTGGTCATTTTTTGGATAACTTCAAGAGGATATTTACAGAGATTTCAGGTTCTGAACCTTTCTGGCCCTTAGGATGAAGTGTTCGTTTATTTATCCATTTCCCTTTTCCCTCCAGCAAGAGCAAATACTTTGTCACCTTCCCGTATCCTTACATGAATGGTCGTTTGCATCTTGGACATACGTTCAGCTTGTCAAAGTGTGAGGTAGGTGTGCATTTTGAAGGGAACGTGAATAAATGACACTGGAGTGATTAAGTTATTTTTCAAAGTTATATAGCTCCATCGTGCAGTTTCAGATGCACAACACCTGACTGTAGAAATGATAAAGACCTCTGTCTGACTACTTTAAACATGATATTAAAATTAAAATCTGCTCTTATCCTGTTCATGCAGTTTGGTGTTGGATACCAGTCTTTGAAAGGGAAGAAATGCCTCTTTCCGTTTGGGCTGCACTGCACAGGAATGCCAATCAAGGTTACCATTAGTTTGTCTATTCCATTTACAGTTCCATTAGTGTGGTATGTACTGTATATGCTTAAACATTGAAACAGATATGCTTTATTTGTGTGATAACACCTGTCAATGACTTCAGATTCTTTCTGAAGACCTAAAATCTATTTGATCGTATTGTTTTGATAAACATCGTATGACTATAAAGAATGCTGCCAGATACAGTCTTGATTACCCCGTTTAGCGTGTACCTATGTTCTCGATCAGCATCTGATAAATTCTCACTGTCGTAGCCTCCCTCTCACACAATGTTGTCTGTCTTTCTAAAAATACATGAATCCATATTGCATCCCGCAGGCCTGTGCAGACAAACTAAAGAGGGAGATGGAGTTGTATGGAAACCCCCCTCAGTTTCCAGAGGAGGAGGAAGAAGAAAAGGAGAAGCCCCAAGCATCCGATGAAATCATCATCAAGGATAAAGCGAAGGGCAAAAAGGTTTGCATTTGAGCTGACTTCATTTTCTAAAGTAGATGCAGTGTTTGGTTGCTTGTTTGTTCAAGCACATGCTTTTTTTTTTTTTATAGCTAGGGCATTTAAATAGAACAAAATTGGATCTTAAAGTTACAACTTGAGATTTAGATTAGATATTGTTACATTTTGTATAGTAGTAATATGTACTGTATGTTCCTATGATATCCACATTTAAGTAATATTTTTCATTGTTTGTGTATGTGAACATTAAAAAAGCTCTAATAATAATTTTTAAGAGTGTAATTTGTTCATAAAGTTTAAAAGCGGTCTGTTTCAGGTTGAATTACTGACTTACCTCCAAGCCTTACACATTTACCCCTTTTATTTCTCTGTCAGAGTAAAGCAGTGGCCAAAGCTGGAACCTCCTCTTTCCAATGGGATATCATGAGGTCGTTGGGCCTGAATGACCAGGAGATTGCCAAGTTTGCCAACGCTGAGCACTGGCTGGAGTACTTCCCTCCTCTGGCAATCAAAGACCTGAAATTGATGGGTGTCAAGGTGGTGAATTCTAATGGTCAAATTTTGTACAGCCCAAGTATTGGCATTTGCTTCTCCTTTCTTAAGTTCGCTTTGCAGTGTTTTTATGTCAGGAAGCTAAATGCATGTCATTTTCTTTTAGGTGGACTGGAGGCGATCTTTTATCACCACTGACGTGAACCCATTCTACGACTCCTTTGTCAGGTGGCAGTTTGTCACTCTGAAAGAGAGAAAAAAGATCAAGTTTGGCAAAAGGTGAGTTTTTACCAAACGGTTTTATATCTCTGATTGGACCAACGATCGGATGAGGTGTATAGGTGTCCCATAGAACAAAAATATTAAAAGATGAACATTCTTCACAGCCGTGCATCCGAGAGTTTAATTTGTTGTCTAATTTAGTGTTTTTCTAGTGATGTGATTTTGGACTCCTGTGCAGGTATACAATCTACTCTCCCAAAGATGGACAGCCGTGCATGGACCATGACAGGCAAACTGGAGAGGTAGGCCTATCTTTATCACAACCATGTATAATTTCTGGGAACATGAAATGTAAAAGGATTATGAGTAATCAGCGAGTCTGCATCGTATTCTGATATAGATGATCTCTGACCCAATGGTTTGATTCACCGAGATTCGCTTTTTTTTCAATATGTTTGACTTTACAAGTGTTTTATTTAAACTTTTAAAAAACAGTTTTAATAGAGTTAAAGCATTTTCTACATTTTTCCTCTGCAACATTTGCACCGCTTTGCAGGGAGTTGGACCTCAGGAGTACACGCTCATCAAGATGAAGATAGTAGAGCCTTATACGGCAAAATTCAAATCCAAAGTCTTTTATAGCAGGTAAGAAGTGAACGGCACTAAGCATCTACTGCTGCCATGGTTGTTTGTTTAGTGGTTTTTACCTATGTGAGGGACAGAGAGGGGATTTTCTTTTCAGTATTTGACAGTTCACAAAGATTCAAATTGAATGGTCACTAAATGCATGCTGTCGCGCCCACAGCGGGATGAAAGGGAAAAACATCTTCCTCGTGGCCGCCACGCTGAGACCAGAAACCATGTTCGGCCAGACCAACTGCTGGGTGAGACCCGACATGAAGTACGTGGCCTTCGAAACAGCCAGCGGAGACGTCTTCATCTGCAGCAGCAGGTCCGCCAGGAACATGTCTTTCCAGGGCTTCACCAAGGAGAACGGAGTGGTGCCGGTGGTCATGGAAATACTGGGACAGGTACGGTTTGATCTTAATTTTGGGAATAAAATACAACAGCTCTATGTGTTTTTATTCTCAGACAAATGTTCAAATGCGATTGGTGTTTGTGTCTGTTGTATTTCTTTTAAGAAGGATTTTCTGAGCAGGACGGGGCCTGAACCCTCTGTCTCTGAAGCAGAAATTAAATGATTTTCTTAACTTTTCTGTATATGCCAGGATATACTTGGCAGTGCCCTTAGTGCTCCTCTGACCTCGTACAAGATCATCTACGCTCTGCCAATGCTCACCATCAAGGAGGACAAAGGTATATGTTTGAACATTTATGATCAGATAGATTATTAAGGTGAACTGTTGTAAAAAGTGTTTTGGATTTTGATAATTTTAAAGGTAAAATGTTGATGCTGTCCGTTGCCACATTGTTTGTAGGCTCCAAGATAGGTGTTTTTTTTCTTATTTTATCAGCAGAATCATCATTTCATCTGATTTATGCTGCAGAGGCTGGGTACTGTTTTTGGTTCTCACATTCTCGTGTCCCGGTGATCAATTGACGTAAAAATCCTTAAACTGTTAGCAGAATAGGCGCAAAATCTGAGCGCCCCATTGTGCTCAGATTGTCATCTTGTTTTTAAGGGTCGTTTCGACCATCACAAAAAATTCAATCGTGCTCATTTGTGTGTTTTTCTACAGTAAATCATCAGTTGCAAAGCATCTGATGAAATGTGGCATTTATTAGCCATTAGACATGAAATGAAGTCTGTTACTTGTACGCATTTGATGTGATCCGGTGGGTTGTTTGTGATCACCCCAGGTACGGGTGTCGTTACCAGCGTGCCCTCTGATGCCCCTGATGATATCGCTGCTCTTCGGGACATCAAGAAAAAACAGGTAACCGAAAACCTAACCTTTCACCGAGCCTCTCTGCCCAAATTTGTCGGTTGAGTAAAGGCAAAGGGAGTAGGTTTCCATGCCAGCTTTCACATGTTGACTGTTGGAGTATTTATTTTTTAATTAGTCTGTTGTGTTTCCTTTGCAACAAAAAAACCTTTACTCTCTACATCTTGTTTGAAGTAAATAAAAGCATTCATTATATTATTTCCTAAAGGCTCTACGGGAAAAGTATGGAATTGAAGACAAGATGGTGCTGCCTTTTGAGCCGGTAAGAAAATCTGGTAGACATCAGTGCAGGTTTCATTTGCACCAACCCCATTATTGTCAATATTGTGTGTCTGCTGTGTGTGTGTCAGGTCCCTATCATAGAGATCCCAGGCTATGGGAACTTGTCTGCCCCTCTGGTGTGCGACGAGCTGAAGATCCAGAGTCAGAATGACAAAGAGAAGCTGGCCGAGGCCAAAGAGAAGGTTTACCTGAAGGGATTTTATGAGGGGGTGAGTGCTTGTATTGCCTGTTGAGTTCAAATGTCACCAAAGTGTATGCAAAAATGAATTGTCTGCGAAACCCCCTGGGGATTTGACTTTAGTTTTGAAGCTTCCAAATAAAATAATTTACAACTTACGGCCACAACAACATTAATAATTAAAGGGTATGAAATAGAACACCACAGTCACAGAAATAAAAGTGAGCTCTGCAAATGTCATGCACATGATTTTTGTTGTTGTTGTTGTTTTTGCCGCTGGCAGTGACTGTAAAGCCAAATAATCTTATTCAGGACTAGAAAACAAAATCACAAACTGCTGTATCGCAGCCCCCAGGCTCTTGGGCAGTTTCAGGTCCAAGAATGTGCACACCACTACCTCAAAACCGGTCAGAGGCACAAAGTTTATAGAGTCACAAGCTTATGTAGTTTTGCTATCATCACTGTCAAAACAGCTGTGTCTTTCCTTCAGGCAGATTTATTTTTCTTTTGCCAAGAACACCACGGTACAGAGATCAGACTCTTTCCTCCTTTTGCAGTATCGTGATATGCTACAGTGTAGTAAAAAATGCTCTGAAGCAAGCTGCCCAAACTGTCAGAAGATAGCGCTTTACACTCCGAACACGTTCCCATCCTGTTTGGTTTATTGAGGAGAATGTTGTAGAAACTCCGCTCACTATCTTTGACAGGCGTGAGACCGGGGAAATAATTAACTGAACACGACTGAATTGCTGTGAATGAATTTCTGCCTCAGATCATGCTGGTCAACGGCTACAAGGGGCAGAAGGTCCAGGATGTGAAGAAGCCCATCCAGAAGATGATGGTGGAGAAGGTAGTGTGTTCATCTCTGTTGGTCATGTAAAAACGTCCATGTCCTGGATGTGTCCCATAAGTTGGTGTTTGTTACAGAGTGTGAACAAAGCCTAATGGAGGCTTGGAGGTGTTTTTTAAAAGAATCCTTCTGCTTTCATGTTAACTGGGACAGGGTGAGGCCATGATGTACATGGAGCCAGAAAAGCAGGTCATGTCCCGCTCAGCCGATGAGTGTGTGGTTGCTCTCTGTGACCAGTGGTGAGTTCCACAGGGATCTATACCTTCTTGAAATCTGAACTTTTTTGATTAGTCACATACAAAGATGCCTCACACGGGAGGATTCAAATATATTGTTATTATTGTATATTGTTTAAAGGAACAGCACTGAGGTGTGCTTTTTCCTCTTATTTATTAGGTTCCATTAAACTTGATTGCAATGGATAGATAGAAAGTTTAATGCATATTTTTTATTTTTTCATTCCATTGGCTCTTTTGATAATTATGGAAATATCACTTGTGTGTCTGACAGGTATTTGGACTATGGAGATGCTGAGTGGAAGCAGCAGGCCAATGAAGTCCTCAAGACTTTAGAGACGTAAGGCTGGAACCTCTGAGTGGAATTTTTTTTTTTACAGTGTTATAGGTTTTGGAAGAATTAATAAGCATAACGAATAAAGTGAGGAAAATGTAAATCATTGAACTGACTCTGAAAACTACAGTTATATTTTATAACATTGATAGTTCACTAACCACATCTTCTTAATCTTATTTATTTGTTCTCTTTTGCAACAATACCAGATTTTGTGAGGAAACCAGGAGAAACTTTGAGGCAACTCTGGCCTGGCTGCAGGAACATGCCTGCTCTCGTACCTACGGCCTCGGTAAGCATTTTCCTTCAGAGTCTGCATTCAGCAGAAAAAGCTCACACACAAAACTTATGTTTACTTTTAATTCGGCTTCCTCATCCTCTAATAAGAAAATATTATTGTTTATGTATGATGCCGACTCTCACTACCATTAAGATTCACATTTAGTCTATAGATGGAGACAGAGGACTGATGATGAAGGACCTAGCAACAGCCCGCCTCTGTTAACACAAGAATAGATTCAGAATGAAGCCCAGTTGGCATGCATGACCGGCCAGTACTGTACAGTCCCAACTCCTAGATTTGATCTGTCAAAATCTGTCAGAAATTTTCAGAATATTAAATCTGACCAGAAAAACATTCTGTTCAACATATCCATGAAATTTCTATTCTTATTTTTTGCAAGGGTACCTTTTCAGTTTGGGGACACAAAACATGAATTTCCAATAATTGTGTCCTTTATAAGCATCATTCATATTTTCTTATACAAACTTAGCATTATTCTGTCCGGCTAGATCTCTGTTATATAAGGAATACACTCCTGGTTAGATGTATTCAGACTGTAAAACATAAACACTCTTGAATTTGGTCTCAAGTAGAAAAAGTTTCTGAAATCATTTTTTAATAATACATAAAGATAAATGAAAGTTATTTATCAACCAAGTTGTAATCACTGTTTCTTCCGTTGTGATCTCAAGTTATCTGGGTATCTGGAAAGATATAAAATGGACTCAAAGAATGTGAGGCCAATTTTGTACTTTCTTTTTCATAAATTCTTGTTGCAAAAAGTCTTAGGGGAATATGAATTTGTCAAAAAACGGCAAACATCAGTGGACAAAAGTGCTTGTTAAATTAGGAGGTTATTTTTTCTCTGTGTACACATTCTCAAGGAATTCCCACTGAAGCCGCAGTCCTAATCCTCAGCGGCTTTCTGGCACCACAGTGATGGCAAATTGAACAAAAAAAACATTGCGCCAACACAAAGAACATAATTGTCTGTCCTGATGTACATTGTTATCTTTCAATTTCATGGATTCCTGTCTGTTTGGTGTGTGTCCCTCGCCTGGTTGCCATAGGAACGCGGCTGCCTTGGGACGAGCAGTGGCTGATTGAGTCGCTATCGGACTCCACCATCTACATGGCGTACTACACCGTAGCACACCTCCTCCAGGGAGGCGTTCTCAACGGACAGGGAGACTCACCGCTGGGCATAAAGTATGGCTGCAGCACACACTCACAAACACAGCGCACGTCTGCACAGGAATAAACAGACGACAAACCCTTAGTGGCGCGTCTTTTCTTTTTTTGGTGGTTCTCCATTCTCTGTCCTTTCGATCTCCAAAACTCTAAAGATGAGGTTCCTCTGAGGCAGCCGGAATAGACTCAGTCCAAACAGCTTTAAGTGAATATTGTCGGACACAAAAATGCTATGATTTTGGAGAAAAGTAGTCTTTAAGACAACACACGTGTGTATGTTGTGATCCAGAGCTTCTAAACTATAAGCTCTGGATCACAGCATATTTTCAGTCTGATTTACACTTAAACTCACAGCGACAGTAGGCTTTTAATAGCTTCTTCTCTGTTTTCTCAATTTGCAGAACAACCCCCTGTGTATCACCTTGACCGTTGCCCCATTTCCTCCCTCTCTTCCACAGGCCGGAGCAGATGACCAGAGAGGTGTGGGACTTCATCTTCTTCAAGACATCTCCGTTTCCCAAGACCCAGATTCCTAAAGAGCACCTGCAAAAGTTGAGGAGGGAGTTTGAGTACTGGTACCCCGTGGACGTCCGCGTGTCCGGCAAAGATTTGGTGCCCAACCACCTCTCCTACTACCTGTACAACCATGTGGCCATGTGGCCCAAAGACAGGTGAGTTGGCCTCAGTTTGCCTCATCCCGCTGCAGAAAGGAATGAGAAGAATTACAAAGTGCTTTGAATTGGCAAGTCTAAATGAACGGGCGGTTGTTTGGAGGAGAATGTGTAAATAAATAATTCATGTTGACATGGCGATGCATAATGCATTGATTTGATTTGTTATTCGCTGAGTGCTGAGATTTATGAAGAGATTGACATTTGGGCAAATGTGCTTAAAGTCGTTTTAAAAATTCATTAATATGTGTGTATGTATGTAGAATTCAAAGTCTAGTCTGGAAAACAAGAATTCAGTATCCTTTAACCTTTGGGAATTTCGTCTGGTGCCCTAAATAATTTATGATCTGCACTCTTATCTCAGACTGTTAAGTGTGAAGGCCTGTGTGCACCAGTCAGCTGTGGAGACCTTAATGGCATACGTGAAATTCTCTCTCTTCTTTTTGATTTTCCTTTTTCATCTAATTAAACATGTTGAATTGGGGTCGGATCTGTCGGGGAAAGACTCTGATGGGCTGTTTAGCACAATGAAAGAACTCTTACCTGACTTAAGAACAACTTAACTGACATGTATTGTGCTTTTTAACTCCTAAAGGACTTAAACATTATTTAAAAAAGAAAATCTGACCACATAGTGACTTGGGTTTATTCAGAGATTTCTCGCCTTATTATTGTTTAGAAATCTAGAGATTCAGTATTACATTGTTGCCTCCCACCATTATCAAAAGTTAATGCAGAACCGATAATTTGGAGTTAAACGAATGCTATAACATAAGAACATATCGACAGTGATTTGAAAATAATTATTTTGTCTTTAGTGGGAAGTGGCCACAAGCAGTGAGAGCCAACGGACATCTGCTCCTCAACTCTGAAAAGGTATGACTGGTGTAAAATCAGATTTTCTTTGTTTTTTCTTCACATAGTGCCTTCATGAAAGTTGAGAATCAGAACTCAAGTAATATAAGAATGCACTCATTCTGGGAAATTTAAGTACAATTTTCTAATTGTTTCACTTCATTTGTCACTTTAAGCCGTCACTGTGCAAGCGTTTGGTTTTAGTGCTATACTTGTTTGTCAGTTTTGAAGAATTCTAGAAGCTACCATCATTGATTTCCGTATGTTATGTTTTTTTTGTTGTTGTTTTTCCTTCGCCAGATGTCCAAATCGACAGGAAACTTCCTCACTCTCAGTCAAGCCATTGACAAGTTCTCAGCCGATGGTTGGTTATGATTGCATCTACCTCCTTCTGTTTAGCTTTTACTTTTCACGAAGCATGAAAAAATAATTACGCTCTGCCAAACTGAAACACGGAACAAAAACGCATTGATTCTAAACTTTAAATGCATTGCAGGTTTAATTAAAAGTTTGCAGGTTATTAAACTTGATCATACTGGTAACATCTTCACAAATTATTTAAAAAAGACCATATAAGTGAGTTTGCTTTGATTTTGCGCTACAAGCAACATTGTATGTCAGATAATTAATAAGGCACCTTAAGTAATAAAGTTCTGTATCATTTATTTTCGCATGCTTCAAGCTGTTACAAGAAAGCCAGTGTGTAATCAATAAGTTCATTCTAGCAGTCAAACTAATTAATTTCCAATGATTTTGCATTTGCAGAACACATTAAAACATCACAACTATTTATAAAAGAAGAGGTAATGTGCAATGATACATTGGTAACAAATCAGGCCGTGGGTTAGGCAAAGTTTCTCCTTCCACACGTGATCTTAAACGCCTTCCAATGGGAATCGTAACGGCCCGTTTCCTCCCTCAGGTATGCGTCTGGCTCTGGCTGATGCCGGAGACACAGTGGAGGACGCCAACTTTGTGGAGACCATGGCTGACGCCGGCATCCTCCGCCTGTACACGTGGGTGGAGTGGGTGAAGGAGATGATCGCCAATCAGAACAACCTGAGGACGGGACCCGCCGACACCTTCAATGACCGGGTGTTTGCCAGGTAAACTGAGGAAATCGCACAGAGGAGGAGAAAAAAATAAATTCAAACGATAAACTAATACATATAGAGGCTGCGCTTGTCTCTAAGCTACAGTTTTCCATGTTGTAACATGATCAATTCACACAGGATTTTAGTAAATACAAACCGGTTACTTACACAAAGTAATTTTTTGTTTTTCTGACCTGTTCAGTTATTTCATTGGTCTGATGTGACAAGGATAAATATTTTGGTGGCCTCGTTGGCACTTAAAAATAAATTAATTATCAGCATTAGAATTCAAACTGATAAATTAAAAGTGTGTATACATTTATTCCTTTACTTTTTTAAAGGTAATTGCTTAAAGATGTGAAATTTACAGCTGGTTCTCTCCAGCTGTACTTTAAAAAAATGTTGCAATGATAATTTATCTTGCCCCAATTTACTTATAAGTTGAAAACATGTAGGATTACCAAAGAGGGCTATTTGTTTTATGCGCCTCAGAAATTTGAGATTTAATGTTTAAGGCATAAAAACTCGGCCTCCTCTGTGACAGCCGAAAACTGACTTTGGACACTGAAAGATTTTTTGTGGTTTATCCAGTGAGATGAATGCAGGCATCTTGAAGACGGAGCAGCACTATGAGAGGATGATGTATAAGGAGGCCCTCAAGACTGGCTTCTTCGAGTTTCAGGTAGATACAACCTTTTTTTTTTAAAGTATTAAACGGTTGTCTTTTTGGCTTGAATTTCCAGTTTGAAATGAAAATCCATCTTCAGAGCAGACGAATAGTTTTCCCTCTCTGACTGTAGTCAAATTAAATAAGCAGAAAGCCCTTGTCTGAGTCCACACTGTGAAGAATAGGCTTTAAATAAACAAGTTTTGTGGACATAAAAGACCAAATATGAACTTGGTTTAAAGAAATAGCCTGTCTGAGAAGATTTTCACATAAATGAAACAAGGAGGTGGTAGAATCATGGTTTTGCTGTGTTGGCCCACGAATATGTATCTTAAAATCTTGCTGTTCTTATAAGGTCTATCGACACATGGGTTATGCACCCAGACAGCAGATTTTCCTCTGCTATCGCATGGATTAAAAAAAGAGCATAGAAGTTAAATACACTAAGTGACTGAACTGAAACGGCCAAGCCAAAATGAAGAAACACTCATTGCTTTTTAAAAGTGATATACCACGTCATGCATACTCTGAGATGACTCTTTTATCAGCCTTTGGGCCGTTTCCTAAGCACGGCCAGATGTCATGAAAAGAAAACTGTAGCTCGAACACTACACGTCTTGCCCGATACCAGTGAACTGATCTGAGTCAATGCCCCTGCAGGCCGCCAAAGATAAGTACCGCGAGCTCGCCATCGAAGGGATGCACAGAGACCTCGTCTTCCAGTTCATAGAGAGACAAACGCTTCTGCTGGCCCCCATCTGCCCACACCTGTGTGAATACACATGGGGACTGCTTGGCAAGGTAAGACACATCCATATTTAACCTCACACTGTACTCTTTTGTGCTCCAGGTCCCTTTCCTGCTCTGACGGGAGGGGGGGTGTTTAAATCTGACTTTGATCTCCTCACCTCACGTCTTCTATTCTTATCTCGGCGGCGTGCCGTTATCTAAAACAGAAGCGCGGCGGAACGAAACATTTTAAATTGCTCGGTTCATTTGCATTCGCGGGCACACCTGGGACGGAGGAGTTTAAACTCGACGGTTCCTGTGGGCTTGTAGGAGCTCTGGTCCCGCTCCTCATTTACCTGTGTGAAATGGTTACTAACGCGTTTCCACTGCTGATATGCACTATCCACCAGCGGCCTGTCTTAACACCAAGCTTTTTTTCTTCTTTTTTCTTTTTTTTCTTCTTCTCTGCAGCATGAAATGAACACAAACATACACACAGTGGTGTATGCTTCCAGTTTAACCCAGAGCCAGGAATATTTTTAACACTCAAATTTATAAAGAAGTGCTGCTGTGCTGGAGATAGGTTTTTCAGTTGTCGCCTAGCAACAACTACTTTGTCCCCCCCCCTCTCACAGTCCTTTACTTAGCACCGCAAGCTAAAGAGTTCTGCACACACAGCTGACACAGATTGTACACAAATCATCTGGTGTTTTTGCTCCTGCTGTCAGAGTTTAACTCCTAACACACTTTCCCTTTTTTTCTAATTCAGCTGCTTCTTTCTCGTTACCTTCTGATAGACGGGGTCTCTGATGAAGGCATCGTGGCCTGCGGCGGGGCCAGTGGACGAGATTCTGATCCGTTCCTCTCAGTACCTGATGGAAACCGCACACGACCTCCGTTTGAGACTAAAGGCATACATGCTTCCCCCAAAAAGCAAGGTAAGACATTCCTCCCAATCTCCCGAGTCTTTACCTCTCAGTTGCCATGTCTTTTTGACTACAACAGTGAAAGTTAGTTTCAAAATTACTCACAAACTCACAAAGTACTCCCAGGTCTAAACGTGTTCATTAAGCATAGTGGCAAAACAATGTCTGTGAGGCTTTCCTCCCTTCAGGTGATCTTCAGCAGTTTAGAGGTGAATGGAATTTAGACACAGTTATGCATAAAAAAAATAAAAAAAAGATTTAAAAAGCACAGAACATAAGGCCCAAACAGGTTTGGCTCCTGCCAAAAATAGCAGAGTTTGGGATGAGCAGCAGTTTATCCCACACACACAAAGTGTTTATTGAGATTTTGCCATGAGGAGAAATTGCCGTTAGGTTTGGAAGTTAGAAAAAACGGTTTGTCTAAAGAAAACAAACGCACGAATAAACAAACACTGAATGGGTGGAGGGGCTTTTTTAAAATTTTTCTTCGGTGGTCCGTGCCTTTAATCTGACACGTTGTGGATTATTGATGCCATCTTTGTGTCTCTCCGACAGCATCTGGTATCCATTCAGGTGCACTGAGGACTTCAAGTCTGTGTTTTGTTCGCAGCAGGAAAGTTGGTCTATTGTTTGCTGACAGTTTGGCAGTTCAATACGTGGCTGTAGGCAGCTGATAGAACAGCAACACCAGTATTGACGAGATCTAAGGCGGACCATATCTTGGGCTCTCAGGCAGGTGTTATTGATTTGCCACAAATGTTTTGTTGCCACGGAGACAGGACTGCAAGGATGGCAGAAAAAGAGAAGGGGGGGAAAAAAATTAATTCCGAGAAGTCTTTCTGGGTGTTATCGTTTTCCCTTGTGATTCTTTAAAGGGGGTGGTTTTGTTTGTTGCTGGCACCAAAATGTGTAACAATCCATCTTGTGATTCTGTGCTTGCATGAGACTTTTTAAAAACACATCAAACTAAAAATGTGCTGTCTTCGAATTCTGTGTATTAAACACTCCGGTCTTTGACTTTGAAAACAATATGATCCCCACCCCCCCTGGACAAAATGCCTGTTAAGGAACGTAGTCTCCACTCATTTGTAGTGGTAATAGTCTTTTCATGTATTCATAGAAACATACAATGCAGGCTCAGAGTAAGCTTGACAGCTGCCATGTAAAAATAAATTCACAGATGTTAGTGGAAGCTCAGACACACAGAAAACAGCTGGCGTCTTCCTCACAGATCCCCACGTTCCACACAGACGACTTTATCTTGTACTCCCAACGATATGGATAAACCACGCCCCTGAAGGTTTTCGATTTCTTCAACATCCTGTTTTTTTTTTTTTTGCTCCACAGAAAGGTGACTCAAAGCCCCCCGCCAAGCCCTCCCACTGCACCATCTACGTGGCCAAGAGCTACCCTCCCTGGCAGCACAGTGCCTTATCCTTGCTGGGCAAGCACTACAAAGTGAGACTCGAACGTGTGATCTGACATTAAACGTGGTTTTGTGTTTGTTTCTCTATTTCTGAAGAGGTTCGTCACGAACAGAAGTTACATCTATGTCGTACAGTAATTGAAATATGTAATTTTTTGTTTGTGTTTGCTTGTTTTGGTCTGACCAGAGTAACAACAAGGTCCTTCCAGACAACAAAGTGATAGCGAGCGAGTTGGGAGCCCTTCCTGAGCTCAAGAAATACATGAAAAGAGTCATGCCTTTTGTCGCCATGATCAAGGTAAATCCCCTTGGAGGGACGCTGTTTCCACCATATTTTCCACGTGACTTATTTGATCTAATATAATTAATTTTTTGGAGGGGGGTGTAATATTTACCTATGAAACAGGTTTAGCTTTTGTGTTTGCACGTTTAAAAGGTTCGGAACCGTGAAAGTAATATCCACCAGGTGAAACCAGAGAGCCCTGTGATTTTAAAAAAGCAACATCCCACTTTTAAGCACGACAGATGGATCTTTTTTTTTTCTTTTATGTGAACCAGTATATCTGATCAAAGTAAAGTCGCTAATAAATGATCAGAAACAAGCAGCTTATAAAATTTTCAGAAGTCATGTCTCTGACTGTGCTGTGGGGTTTTGTTTTTAATGTTACAGTCTCACCGGTTTCATCAAACGGAATCAACCTAATAAACAATTATGATAAGCTTATTATTCATCCCAGTCTCTCAAACTGGTTCTTAAGTTATCGAAGACCTTTTTTTTTGGCAACTTTTGCTCAACCAGTTTAATGGGTTTGTGGACCGAAGTGTGCCATCTAAATCAAGCCCATCCCTTTTGATTTATCACTGTTAAATGGTTATTACGTAGTTTAAAAGGAGTCATAGGTGCTGAATTGTTTGTTTTTTGGTTATTTCAGGAGAACCTTGAGAAAAACGGGCCCAGGGTCCTGGATCTGGAGCTGGAGTTTGATGAGCGGGCCGTCCTCATGGAGAACCTGGTGTACCTGACTAATTCTCTGGAGGTCTGTCGTCATCCAGTGTTGAGGTTTAGCTCAAACCAAGACCGTTCCATCCAACCACACTGTAGGGATTTCAGAGGCTGTTGTTGAGCTAGGCTGGAAAGATAACAACAAATTAGTATTTAAAAGCATCGCACAATTGTTCCAATGTTTCAATTTGAAAATTGAACTGTAGCTTATGGTTTACAGAATTGCACTAAAGCTCAGAAATGAATATTTTTTCAATCCGAGTGTCACGACTTCTGCAGTAACAAGTTGAGACAATCCTGAGCTCAGTCAGAAAATCCCTCCTTTTGTCTGCTGCCTTGGCTTTGTCAGGAAATAAAACCCCCAAATACTCGGGCGGAATCACCACAGATTTCAAAAGTGGAAGAAGGATCTTGACACCAAAGGAAACCCCCTCAAACAGATTCTCACGGCTGTGATAAATCACAGTTCTCAGGACACATACAAATACTTTATTTCCAGGGACTGAAAAATTATATTTCACTTACCTCGCAAACATTATCTTAATTTGGGTGTTTAGCCAGTGACGCTATGATAAAGGAAGAAAAGGTCAGCAGAGGCCAGACTTGGGTGGTTTTGGAAGTCCATTCCTCCACTTTCCAGCTTTTTGCACTTTTGTAACTCATCTAATAAACTCCCTTCTCCCTATGCAAACATTTACCGTGATGTTGTCCTGTCAGAAATGTGGCAGACTGTTGAAAAACCACATGTTAAGCCTCAGGATTGCTCATTGGTAAACACCACCAGCATCAGTGTCAGTCAGCATTTGAAACACACTCACACATCTGTATACTCACTCACATGGATAACATCTCTCAGCTGAGCTGCATTTTTCATTTTTTTGTGGGGTTTTGTCACCGTTTCTTCACAACAGTTGGAGCAGATTGATGTCTTATTTGCATCGGAGGCTGATGACAAAGTGAAGGAGGACTGTTGCCCTGGGAAACCATTCAGCATTTTCAGATCTGAGGTAAATGCTTTGAAGTCAACGTTGGTCCCCCAGAGTTAGATTTAGCAAGTACCGGGAGAGACGTTGTTCTTCCTTTTTGTGTTCCTTCCATTTTTTGTAGTCGTCTGACTTTTGTGTGGCATGAACAGCTGCATTCATGTCAGTGGTGGTCCAAATGATCGTTCCACTCTCAAACGGTTAAATTGTGTCTCCTCAGCCCGGAGTGAGCGTCTCTCTGGTCAACCCTCAGCCGTCCAACGGCCTGTTCTCCACTAAGGTCGACATCAGACAGGGGGACAGCAAAGACAACATCGTCCGCCGGCTAGCCAAAGTCAACCGGCTCATTAAAGGTCTGTGAGCTCCAGGAGGAAAGCGTTCCACCAATAAAAAGAGCTGCTCCGCCTGTCATGATTGGTCGTTCCTCCGCCGCCCTCTGATGTCTTGGGTGTTTGATTTTGTATTTTTTTCAACCAACGTGACAATTTAAAAATAGAAGCAGAGTAATATTGGAACATAAAGGCTCCCATCAGAGCTCATATTATTCAATATATGACCCAATTTTCTGCGCAGCCCCGCATCCTTTAGCCTTCTGCCCATGATGTCTCATCTGTACTCGTCTTTCCATCTGCCTTGCTGTCATCTTCCTATTTTCCTCCATTCTTCTCCTCTAAACTAATTCTCTCCCTCATCAGTGTCCTCTCCACTCTTTGTTATTCCTTTCTCTGTGCCCCCCATCACCACCGCCGCCGTATTTCTCTTTTTTTCCGACTGTTTTATTTGTTTGCTTCGTTTTTTTGTTGACTCACCACAGACTCTGCTTCCACCCCACTAGATCTGTCCAGAGTGAAGCTGATGAGGTATGAGGACCCCGTACTAGGACCTCGCCGGGTGCCCATTTTGGGGCAGGAGGAAAAAGGCAAACAGCCAATCTCCAGCAAATCTGTGTTCAACATAAATCTGGAGGAGAAGAGGATCACGTTGTCCGACAACGGCCTGAGCGTCGACATCGGGGACACCCTGGTTTATCTGATCCATTAGGGGCCGCATTCGCTCTCACACAGACACACAAGAGCCCGTTATGTCACAGTTAAGCAGGAAACTCAGAGTAACAACACTGGCTGTTTTCTGCAATCTTCAAATGGACATATAAGAATAAAGAAAGCAGAGGGACCTGGTAGAAAGCTCCAGACCTTTATGGAACATGCCGCACGTTTTCATTTGGGTTTGACTTTCGGTTGTCACGCCGACACACATCTGTACTTAAGGGCTTATCATAACGGATTGCTGGTTCTGCAAATGCTTTCTGCTTTACATTGTAGTACAGTTGAATAAGAGAATAACTCCAAGCTAATCTTATCTTCAGGAGTTGGGTTAGAAACACCAGTAGCCAGTTGTTCAAGTCCCTCTATTATGTTCAATCTTGCAGTTTTACTGTCTGGTCCAGTCCTTTCCTGATTCATACTAAATTAGCCATCCAACGAGTAATCAAGCTTTAAAGCACATCTTTTCTCAGAGGTATCGGACAAATACTTAGAACCATCTCACATTCGTCCGTTGGCCACTTTCTACTTTGTGAGAGTGCTTCTGCAGCCTTTTGAATGAACGGTATTTTCATAGCAGCGGTAATGTGTCTTTTGTGTCATTTTCTACATCGGGGGGAGGCCTGTTGTTCTGTGGCGTCCTGTCAGCCTATCGGGCAGCTTTCCCTTTTGCCGTCTGTCAGTCATGCTTGTCTGACCTTTTTCCATAGAAATAAAACTGATGCAACATTCAGCTTTGTGGTTTCTGTCTCTACCTCCATTTCCTCTAAGCATGGCTGAATAACAGAATCTTCCCCTCTAGAATAAGATGTCAAAAATGTGTGTCTGTTTCTCATGTACTTGAGGTTTCATCTCCATATGGCAAGATCTAAGTGACATTACTTCTCCAGAGAGGTTCTTAAAACACGTCAAAGGTTATAAACCATTCCTGTGTTGGGCGCTTGAGGATAAGATTTCATGCTATTGATGACAAATGATCAACAATCGTACCAGGTTACGCATCTATATATTTTTATTGCCCTGTTGTTCCTGCTCTGTATAGAGATGCAAATAAGCTCATATTTTATTAAAGAGAGCATTAGATAAAAGCCTTATTATGATAAAGGTGAGAATGTCTAAGCTTTGAAGTTCGTTAATGTTCATATATAATGAAAGATAAGAGCGAGTTATAAATAATCTGTTGCTCTGCGACACCCATCTCTGAACAATGCATTTTGTGAAACTGAATACAAGAACAGACACAGTCTAAATGTAAATCGGCCAGTTCGAGTGGGAGAGTTTCACTTCAGTATTAGTTTAGTTACATTAGTCAGCCACAGTTTTCTATGCCATAAGATAGTATTTACTAGTTTCATTAACCTATCTGTTTCCACTCCTAAACAAGCATGTGGGGAGAATTATTGATTATCATCAATCAACAATGTTGAATAGAACAAAAATGGGCACGCACTCAGCTTAATCATAACATATCCTCATATAATACTGTGGTGGAAACTTTAAAGAGACAAAAGTCTTGTAATGGAAGGGCATGAGATCGTAGTTTTATTCAAACAGCCTTCCAAAGTGAGAACATCTCAACATAACAAGATGCTCTGATCATACAGAAACTTGCGTTAGGATTTAAAAGCTTTTCTGTAGGGAGAAAAAGAGGGGTGGAACTTCTAACCTACTGTATACGTTTTTTTTTACCTCAGAATACCGTCAGCAGAGCCGGATCTCCCGATTTTCTATCAGTACCAGGATAAGATGTCCCTATATTTGAGATATTAGGATGACTCACAGTTAAAAGTAGGCCACTAGGATCTCTAACCTAGTAAAACATGAGTAATAAGCACAATAGGATTTCATGTGTGACGTGAAGCTTATTTGAACAGTTGTAAAAATGTATTCTACAAACATATTCTACTTCAAAGTTGCTACCATAACAGTACATTTCCTCTTTTGTTTTTAGACAATCTAATAAAGTTGGCCCCATATGCTTAATATTCAGAGTTCTGCGGTCAGTCTGCGTGTGTTTGAAATGAGCCTCCAAACCTGAGGCAGTTTCACAACATGTCTCTCCACCACGTACGAGGCTCCACTCCATGTTTGTTTTTTTCTTTTCTGAAAGCCACACACTCACGCGGTGCTTGAATCTAAAGGGCCAATGTCAGAACACAGGAAATGAGTCCCCTCTAAAAAGAAACCCCAGGTGTTTCACTGCCTCTTTCCCAGCTCTTCACACTCAGGGGTCTGTTTCTACATCAAAGGTGAGCATAGCACTCAACAACAAACTTTCAATTAAATGAATTGAACAGAAATGACATATGTTCCACACGGTGAGGAGCTGGTTTGTCTCGTAGCTTACACTGAGAATGATTTTTGAGGAATTTTGTTTGCAGATGAGAGGCTTTTTTCCATGTAGCCCAGCTTCCTGTCAGAGTCCAGTCAAAACTGGTGGTTTTAAAATGTCCGTTGATGTGAGTTTGAGTTGTAATTTGTCTCTGTAATTAGTTACCTGTCAAAAGTGTACTCTGTAAGGATCCACTGCCCTGAATGGCATGAGTAAAATATAGCAAATTAATGAACTAATTATTTCATTTCCAAATCAAGCGTTGGTCCAACTGGTTGATTTGAATTCCATGTTGAAGCTCATGTTTTTTCCCATCCACATTGTCTAAATGAGAATTCCACATGTCTAACATATCGTCAGATGTCTTCTGGCCTTGTGTGTGTGTGTGTCTTAAGCATGCATAAGCATCGTTTTTATCCCAGACCCACGTTGTCAGGCACCCTGACGTGTGTCCGTTCTTTCTGTATGCGCTGCGGCAAAGTCTCAGGGCGGAAGACAACTACACGACTTATCTCCGTCACGCAGCTTCTGGCTGAGCCATCTGACTGCTGCTTTATCTGCTCTGACACACACCCTCTCGCTGGGAAAGTGTCACTCCGCCCCCCTCCTCCCGCTCCTCATTCCTGCTGACTACCCGCTCGCTCTCCTCCTTTCGCCTCCTTGTCTCCCCCCCCCCCCGTCACTGGATGCCAGAAGTTCCAATTCATGGAGGAGACAACAGTCACACACCAGTAAGTGGCTTTTTTCCCCTTTTTTTTTTACCTATACACATTGTTGTCACCACAGAACACAATAGAAATACAGCCAACAGCTCTTTTTTTATCTTACCCTGCTTTTTCATGTCACTGTGTTTATCCTTTACTGTCTTTGTGATGTATGATAATAGGAAAAAAAATTAACAGAAGCACTTTATCTCCTTGCCTTTTCTTGTATTTTTTTTTGTCTTCACTGCAGTTTTCTGCGAAAAAAAAAAGTGGAAGAAGAATTAAATAAATCCCTGATTATGGCAAAAGCTGCACAGATAATTAATTTGGGTCTTTTAAAGCTTCTCGTCACTGCGGTCAAGTAGCAGCAAAAAGTTTAGAGTTTGTTCATCCACCACCTGTCTAAAGATGGATTTGTTGCACCTGTCATTTGTACATTCGGATCTATATTTTTTAAAGATTGTATTTTTCAGTTTTTATCATTTCTGTCCTATATTTTTAATTCCACATTTAATTTCTCGCTTCTCATAGAAGCGTTGCGTTGTGCACCTAACACCAAGGCAAAATTCCTTTTAAGTCTAAAAACCTACTTGGCAATAAACCTTATTCTGATTCTGATTCTGATTCTGATTATCTCAGACCAGAGGTGTCGGCCACAGAAACTTCAGAGTCGGTACGTGGAGAGGAGGAAGATGGAGGTTTCCCGGGAGGATGCGAAGATATCAGGAGGTGGAACAGAGTCCAGTCGACGACTGACCCTGTTCTCACGCAGCCCGGCCTGGGCCTCACCACCACCACCACCACCACCATCACGCAGACCGGGGGAGACTGGAGCTCCGGCCTGTTCAACGTCTGCGGGGACAAAACCACGTGTAACACCAGCACCACACCAGTCACACACACACCAGCACGTCCACAGCCCAGCGGCCATGTTCTCACAGGCGAAAAAAAAACAGCAATTGTTGTAAACACAAAAACGCACAATCTCAATCACGCTGGCCGGAGTTTGAATGCGAAGGGATGATGATAGTGTTTACAGAAATGGTTTTTCCTTTTTTGCCTACCGTTTCTGAACCTGCTGCGGAAAGGCTCATAAAAGGAGATTTTAGTCCATATTTTTCTCTCTGCAACATCCTGTGTGCAATATTTCCTTATTAGATCCATAGTTCATTTTCACAAGGTTTCAATTGTTGTTACTCCTAATTGCAAAGCCCTTTGGTTTTAGAAAATTAGATGAATGTGAACTGTGACTGACTGAAAATGATTTTTATTTAAAAGTTTGCCTTAGTTTGCCATAAACAACTTAAAGTATGTTTGAGATTCTTATCTGAAGATGATCTACTAGAATAAAGTTTCACTGAAAAGCTACACTTTAATCAGGTTGGGAGGAAAATCTTAGGAATTTATTGGTGTCATGTGGCAGGCTGACGTTTTGATTTGATTTCGTGTTTCCACAAAACAAGTTCAGTGTAGGAGTCAGTAAGTCATCACTGATCCATTCCACTTCCTTATTTAAGCTGATGGTCATTTTAATTCGATTTTTTAATTTGTTTTTTAGCTTTTCTCTTTTGCTCCTGTGTTTGTAGGTGTTATTGGAGCTCTGGCACCATGCTGTTTAGACCTGAGTTTGGCTCACCAATACGGAGAGTGTCTGTGCATGCCTCTCCTGCCGGGATCTACTTTTGCCATCCGTGTTGGGATCAGAGAGCGTTACAAGATCAGGGTAAGTTGTATTCATCGGCACACCGGATAGCTATTTTGAAAACGTATGCCTGCTGTCCTTGAACACACGAGAACACATCTTTGAGCACATTTTGATGCACTGCGAAATCATTATGATGTGGTAAATTCAAGTCATCAGAATAGTGATTTAACAGAAAAATGGAGAATCACTTTCAAAGCATCATCTCTTTGTTCTTATATTTGACTGACATGGAGATCCACCTGCGAATTGTATGTATTGAATTCTACATGTGCTACTGCTGCATTCTTGTGTGTTTACGTGTACTTTCTTTCTCTAAATGTCTGTTTGTGTGTATGTGTGCCCGTTGCTGTCCGCAGGGAAGTGTGTGTGAGGACTGGACCACGGTGTACTGCTGTTACCCTCTGGCTGTATGTCAGATGATAAGAGAGATGAAGCGGAGGATGAAGACTCAGACATATCATGTGTCCACTGTGCTAGAGTGCTCCTAAAGAAACTGTTTACAGTGACTTGGGTCTTTACTTCTTTACTTCTACATTGCCACACAGATTAGCGAGGACCAACTGAGACCTGCACGAGACGTCAGTACTGTTGGTGGTGAAATTGCCCTTAAATAAATAAAAAAACTAAACAAAAATATTGTTTGACATCCAGAAATGACTGGAAATCAGGGATTTTAATAAACAGTGTAGCTAAAAGAGCTAAATTGCCATCGAGGTCTGCAGTCTCCCTTGGTTATTGTTAAATGTTCTACATGAATAACTGAAACAGCCATTTCTGTTATGAAAAAAGCACTGTAAAATTCTTTCTTTCTCTTTTTTCTGACACATTAACTTTGGTACATAATAAAAGAAAATCATTTGGTGATCTTTAGCTGAATAGGAGAGGAGTGTCTGAGACATTACAGAGCCATTAAATATTCAACTAAGACGAAGCCAAAATGCAGAAGAATCAGTAAACAACTAATTGCTCGTGCTGATTCAATACTTTGTACAACTATATTTTACCGCTGTGACGTGAAATAATCACTTTATGGATGACCTAATCAGTATCTCACATCATTTGAGACGTATTTTTGTGTTTTTCCACCAAGTGTTCAGTTGTGCATCACAGCCCGTGTTTGATCCGATTTTATTCGGGGACACTGGTCTCTAAGTGTCGTAAGTTGGTCTGCTGACGTGTTCTTTTTAGATACTTTTTTCATCTGCAACCCTTCCAAACAAGCCACACTTCTTCATCCTTCATCCACTTGGGCCCCTTGTGAGCTCTAACATGCTGACTGAGGCCTGCGGAGAATTTTCCGGGCACTGCATTGCCTAACCCTGGGGTGAACTCGCTGGGATTATCGTTTTTCACAGAAGAATGATGAACCCCAAATAGTTTGGAGATGGCCAGCTGCATCTCCCAAGATTATTGCCGATGTCTTTTCTCTTGGCATTGAGCTAACACACTTAAATGCTTCAGACCAGCAAAGTGCCAAAACATAACTCTTAATGGAGGTGCTCACTCTTGCTAATGGTCAGTAAAAGTGCATTTGATTCACAGGCTGCTGTTTAACCTCTTAAACGGGATTAAAGCTATTTTGACAAGTGGGCTTCTTCACACCCTTTTTTACATTTTTCTTTCTTCTTCTGGAATAATTAATGGCATGGTATAAAATGGCATTTGGCAGGGTTTATCTGAAGCAGTGTGTAACTTATTGCACCTTATGAGGGCCGGAATATAGTTTTTTCCGTCTATGTTTTGATATAAAACTGAAACCGAGGTGCCTCACATCACCTGAAAAACATGCAGACTTTGTTACCAGATCAAAAACAGACTAAAAAGCATGCAGTTGAGTCTTTTTCTAATCTGCAGCCAGCAAACCAAATAAAGAAAATGTTGCTTTCTTGACCAATCACATTGCGACGTGCTCCTATTTATTTCATTGGTACTTTATGTATATCAATATCAACCCTGGCCTGAGTCATGTTCAATGATTGGGGTGAATGATCCCACTTAAGCCCAGCTATAAAACCTCGTGGGAAAAATGTTTTCATGGAATGTTGAATGAATTAAGACTGAAATTTGTCCAGACTGATACTTTTCAGGTTGTCTGTTGTACAAAAGGTCAACAAAGGTGGGGAAATATGTTCTCCTCCATACCCTGTGGCACATATAGTGTTGAAGAGCTCTTATCCTTGAAGACAAATCAGGCTGATAAATCTTAATTGGAATGGTAGGAGACAATGTAGAGAAGAGGGGAAAAAAAGACCACTTAGCCCTAACAGAACAAGCCATTTGGTTTCTAATTGCAAATTTATGGGATGAGAAAATTTATGTTCAGTATGCAGAATCCCCTTCCTGATTACCCGGAGTACAGGCCATGTTCAAGCTTCAATCACAATTGGAGTTTGGGGATAATGAAGCCTATTTCCATATTTCAGTTTTTCTTTCAAACCATGAATTTCTTCCTGTATCTGGAGGCATTTGATCATGTTATTAATCCAATCTTGTTGTTCTTCCCTGGACCTAAAATGCCAGCCAGTTTGACCGTGTCCGAAAATATTATTACCTCACAAAAGTAGATGAATCCTCAAAGGGCAAATATGTTATAATTTAATTCTTACGGACGGGATCTCCCACCCGGGAGCTGCCGCAAATGAAATAAGGAAGAAAATTGCTTTGGAGTGAAAACCTGAGAAAGATGTGAATAACAAAATCTGATGTACACCTCAGAGTTAAGTGAGCTAATCTGATGAATGTAAATATTTTAAAGCTGCTGCTGATTACTGGATTACAGCGAGCACTCTGATTGATTTGATTATGGAATTTAGCATATCAAAGAGCAAATTAATAGAATTTACTGAAGGGGGGGGGGGGTAAATTGTACCTTTTTGTGAAAGGAGATGGTGGTTGCAACAGGCACTGCCCACTTCCTAAAGTTGAAGTGGACATCCACAATTTTTTGGAATATCTTTTGAGAGGTTTTAACAACACTATCACAAACCTGTTTTCAGCACTTGGAAAGGAAAACATGATCCACATCTTAAAAGGTTTTGGACTTAATGTGTCAGGGTCATGTACACTGTCTCCAATCACCTCTCTTTAACTTCCTGTTTATAAAAAAATAAATCTCAAAAGAAAACCTTTCTTGGAGGAGAGGGGATGCAAAGATGGATCTCATCTAACAGCTAGTGGAACCACATAAATCCAATGACAGCTCTTGAAAATGAGGATAAATGACTTTGGATTGCGGCCCTCATGTTACATGTGAAGCACACGCTTATTTTTCATTCAGAGCGCTGGAAAAATTACAGCTTTATCACAAACTGTGAGGCGCGCACAGTAAGGGGAAAGCGTACACCGAATCTCTGAGGTTTCTTTTGGATTTTTCACTTCGGTATTATTAAGTTTCCACAATGGCAATATTAGCACCAAAGCGGCGGCATAATTCACAAAATGTCTGCATTGGCTCGTTTGCTTCTCGGGGAGCCCTAGATGAAGAGATATGTGTGCGGCTTCTGCTCTGAGCCAACTGGGGGTTATTAGCGAGCAGGATCTGCCTGGAGCAGGACCACGTTGGAGTGCTGGGGTTGCATCTTTTCCTGGCAAGGCAATCACCACGATGCTAATGGAACTGCTTAAGCATCAGTAGCACTCAAATGAGTTGGTAAATTGGAAGTCTCTTCGCTTTGCAAATCAAAAACTCTCTCAGGCCGTCCTGCCAGCTCATTCTAAACTTCGTACAGATGTGTGTTTAGGAACTGACGGGTCCGGCCGCTGCTCGCCAGAGCGCGATATTTTTTCCCTTTCTTGCTCAGCGGAGGACATCGGGCCCTTTGTTAGCGCGGGGTCTCCCGAACGGTAGCTCCCCGTGTTTTCGGAGGTGACAGGAATGTACTGCAGACAGGTCGATATACCATCTGTTTTCTCTCATTATAGCGCGCTGTTTAAGCTGTATCTGCAGAATCCGCTTTGACACCGTCTTGCTGAACGTAAGCAAGGCAAGACTCTGCTCTGCGGCATACGCCGATAGAAAACCTGCATATCCCCAATATTAATGATACCTCTTTCAACTCTGGACATCCCAAAATCACCACAATTAATTCAATACAATTTTTTTAATGTTTGCACTCCCCGAAAAGCTTCCCAAAGAGACTGGGTTGTTCGAACAATGTTCTTATAACACGATGAATGGTCCTTTGAAATTGTACCTCTGCTTCCATACTTCTAATGATGAATCGGACATTCTGAATTATCACATCGCTATGAGCCTGGGAGGTGGTCCTTGGCCTTGCTACATACACTATTCATTTTTCAATTCAAATATGCTAGTACAATATTCATATTATAAGCACATTTTAAAAGAATATGTAGTTTGCCAATTAATGTGCTGCATCTTTACAGTCAAAGGGGGGAGACAATGAAAACGAGCATCTAAGCTCTCTCTAAAGTCATTTTGGTATTTTTGAGTGTCAAAATATGCAAAAGTATAATTCAGAACTTTCCGCAAGATTGTATCTATTGTAGTCATTTAACATTCACCTCAGGCTTTAAAATAGTCATTGCATTTTCAATAATCTGCCTCCAGCTAATTCATCTAATTCATCAACAACATGTTTTTCATAGACAAAAGCCAATAATGATTCGGTCAAACCAATTTGCATATTTTAAGGGGAAAATAAAACAGGCTTCTTTTGTATAGTACAGTCAAGTTTCAATGAAAAGAAAAGACCATTGCATCCTTAACTTCATAAAGAGAGTTATATGCACAACTGTTATATCTATGACTTTTATTTAGTCCTTTGTATCAAATAAGCAGGAAATTGAGAATATGGTTTAAAATCTGGTACAATTAATCAAAGTCTCGAGTTAGCGATCGCAAAATACATCACTGTTGTTTTGATAGCTTCAATTAACAAATCAGTCATCCCACACACGCTCACTGGGACTGTGTCTGGCCTTACGTCATCTTTTACCAAACCCGTTCCCACGTCTGGTCCATCGGGGGGCAGTGTTGCCCCAGATCTGGGTGACCGTCCGTCACCGAGGCCGCTCATCGGGGGTGACATCAGTTTCAAGTGCTGTTGAGGGGGTCAGAGTTTGGATTTCCGCGGCAGCGCCAGAGGTCAGGATCCCGAGCGGCAAAAGCCCTTTCTGGAGTCAGCATCAGAAAATATCTGTGCAGATCTGCTTTCTTGCTGAGTCAGCATCCCCACAGAGGCATCAGGTGTAGCGTTCCCACTGCTGTCGATAACGGCCCCTCGGGGAGGCGTGTGGAGTGGGTGTGTGTGTGGGTTTTTTTTTTTTGCATGTGGACGTATCGAGAAGTGCCCTCACCGTGGAAAACTGTTACTCTGTTGCTAAACATACAAGCAGGCCGTGGCGAAGTATCTCAGCATCTTTTGCCAACTATGTGAAACCAGATCGGCTGATCTGGCTCCTCCGATTTTTTCACCTAGGCGACCCTCCTTTCCTTACGTTACCGCTCAATTACACTCTTCTCTGC